GACCTGACAATTGGCATTGTGACGAAATCCGTTTTATTCCGGTGCCTGCGATCAAAGTGTTCCACCAGTGTTCTCTCCGATGGTACAGCACAGGATGTGTGCCAGCGCAATTCTTGCAGTCAAGGCAAGTGAACCTTGTCAAGCCGCATAAAGTTATGGACTCACGTATCCATGTCAAAGACTTACGTCCCATTAGTGTCATGAGCATTTGGTGGAGAATTTTTTCGGCTGCTTGGGCCAAAGATGAGCAAACTCGCAATTGGACGCAGAGGCATCTCCATGAGCAGGTGTCTCATGGGAAAAATGCCCTTGGATGTGAAGCGCTGATGGACATTTTGCAAGATCGTTTTGCGAATTCCCAAGATGGTTGTATCACTAATCTTGATTGGTCGCAGGCTTTTGATTCTATGAGACCTATGGTCACTACTCAAGCTATGCAGAGAATTAATTTTGCCCCGCAATTTGCCTCTTTGTTGCAAAAAGTTTGGACCCAACAAGTACGGTTCATTCAGTATGAGGGCCATACCCATGACAAAGTGTTGCAAGCAGGACAGGCGATGCCCCAGGGCGATCCAATGAGTCCCCTTTGCTTAGCTATTTGGGTCTCGGCTGGACTCCGTTCCATGTCCCACGCTGATGAATTACCTCCCAATGCTCAAACTTTTTCCGTTTGTTATATGGACGACAGATCCTTTTAGACCAATAGTGTTGAATGTGCCTTCGTTCTGGTTCGAAAATGGTCTCACTGGAGCCAAAGTGTTGGTTTAAAAGAAAACACTAGGAAAACTCAGGTGGTTGTCAAGCAGGCTGTGGAGAGGCAAGTGTTGCTGGATCGTCACCCGGATTGGTTAGTTGATGAAGCCACTATTTTGGGCGCCTCCACCACTTCTGAGCGACGCAAAGCGTCCGAAACGAGATAAAACGTTTCCAAAAAGCCAAACGTAGGGCGGTTTTTCTCCTGTTCGCACCGGTGACCTGGTCACTAAAAGTGAGGGCTTTTCAGTCTTTGGTGATATCCCAAGCGGCTTTTGGGTGGTGCGGGGTCAATCCCACTAAAGACATGGGTTCTTCTTTATTTAACATGCTCACCCACGCTTTGGATTCGGGCAAGGGTGCGTCAAAGGAATTACGAAAGCTTTTTTATGGATGTTTGACTTGGCTCCCCTGGGTTGTCACCTTCCGAAGATGGGGACGAATGTACCGGCGTGAGAGATGCAATTTGGCTTGGAATGCTAAGGCATTCTCGTCAGTTCGCATGCTTCGCTTAGCTCTCAAAAATTTGGGTTTTATCACGGAAACCCCTTGGATTTGGAAACCTAATTTGTCCTACCGTCCTTGTTTTCTTGGGGATGATGCCCTGCTGGACTTGAGACCAAATACCCACCAACCCTTGGAGTTGCAGTTACATATCTTGCGTAAGATGTGTAAATTGCAAGCTTTTTTGGGGTTTACCCGTCAAAGACATAGAAGAGATGTCGCTGACTTGCTTGAACATTACAACGAAGATGAGTTGATTCTTGCTTTCTCTCAAATCGACCTTACTAAAGCACGTAAGGCCGCGGAAAATAGTGCCTCTGCTAGGGCGGCCTTTTTGGCCAGTTTCCTATCGCCGGCCGCTAGATATCACGGTTGTGGCTTGGAAGAAGTTGCTGAACTCGAAGATGGTTGTCCTTTTTGTGTCGCTGACTGCGGCACGCAGCACCACGTCTTTTAGGAATGTCCGTTTAATACGGCGCCTGTGCCTCCTCCGCGGAACTTCCTGCAGAAAAGATTTGCCTGGCCTATTTTGGGAAACCCCAACAATGATGCTGTGATTGCTCACGTTTGTCGTACAATTGAAGAGTTGTGGCTTCTCCACCACCCCCCTTAAAGGCTTTTGCTGCCTTATGGTTGCTTGATGGTTTCTACCTGGGATTTCCTCCGACAACAACCGTGAGGAGTCCCTGAATTTGATTCTATTTCTTTACTTGGAAGAGTTGTGGCTACTCCGTGTTGCCTGTAAGGTTGCCACCCCTTTGATTGCATGGCTGTTTCTACTTGGGATGTCCTCCGACAACTAGAGTGAGGGGTCCTTGAATTTGTTGTTTCTTTATCTCACGTCCTTGAATCTCGGCTTTCATTTTGCGCTGGGCTGGCGCGGTGAGTGCTGCGGATCTTCGGGCGGCAGCTGCTTTTGCGCTTCTTCGGGCGGCAGCTGCTTATCAACTTTCTTCTTCCCCACAAGCCTTACGATTGGGTCATAGTGTAATTACACGACGAGAAACCCACATATTTTTCCAAACAATACGTAGTGAGTAGATGATACGGGAACCCCATTCATATATTAATGGGCGAAAGAAAAATTCCCAGATATACTTTTGTTTGGAGTCTTGGTTTGTTTTGAACAAAAGTAATGGCGGCCCTGTCTGCTAAGTAAGTTTCAATAATAATGCATGAACAAAATGGATCATATATTGTTGACGTCATTTTATAGCATATTATATGTATGCATGATCAGCAAGAGGTTCCAAATATAGACAATAAGCTTAGGGACATCAAAACGCTCGCATCAGTGTCAACTTTTCGTTGCGCAATCCAGCAGAAAAGGCGCGCTGAATAATAATTCAGTCAGCTCACTTGTCTTCTGATTTGGACACCTACTTGAAAAAAACAAACACCTACTTTATAAGAATTTTCCTTGATTACGTCCCTCCCATCATCTCCCATCTGTGGTTGCGCCCCTCGTACGTCCCGATTACGCCCTTCAAACCCGCATGTAAATAAGGGATTACGTCCCTTTTAGCGCTTTGGCCGTATACTATGGTATATTCCAAAGCGCGCAGATGGGATGCACGGCAACAAGTGCACGCCACACACTTCTCCCAAGATGCACGCAAAACAGCTTCCTGACATAAGCGTTGTAAAGGCGGCACGCTGCCAGAGCGCAAGAGGTTAGCATGGCTTCTTGCGGCCCCAGGAAGTGAACCCTTTTCACTGATTCAAAACAGCTTCTGCGCCGCGTCCCCTCATAATATTACACGGATGTATGTGTCCATGGCGGCTTACATTGCAGAAGGAAGGCTGGCACCAGCAAATGGACGAAATCCGGGCCGTCAGGACCGTCGAGCAGCTCCTGTTTGCTCTTTCGTGGTCCCAAAAATGGGGCCAAAAACGGGGCCGCAATATTGCTGGAAGAAGGAAAGGCTTCCAAAATGGCGGCCCCGTTTCTGTCCGGAACCTTTCGTTTGTTTTGCTGGCAATGGGCTTGACAAAGCCTGATCCAAGTTTCACAGTATGGGTGGTTTGTCTTTTCCCCCAAACAGTGTGTCCACACTGAGGGTTTCTTACAGTAATAAGACTAAAGGTCGGTGCTTGATCAGGGTGCTCACTCTGGTCTGCGGCATTTTACCTGCAAATTTCCGTATCGAGTGGCTCTTGTGAAATCTTGACATGTGTTTCGATTTCGCAGGCTCGCAAAAAGTGTGGGTCGCTGGGCCCAGCGTTTTTCCTGTAAATCTCCGTGCAAAGTGGCTCTTGTGACATGCGTTTCGACGGCGCAGGCTCGCACAAAGTGTGCGGCGCGGTTTTGGCCTGCAGCATTTTACCTGTAAATTTCCGTCTGAAGTGGCTCTTGTGAAATCTTGACATGCGTTTCGACTGCGCAGGCTCGCACAAAGTGTGGGTCGCGGTTCTTGGCCCCGGCGTTTCTCCTGTAAATTTCTGTATAAAGTGGCTCTTGTGAAATCTTGACATGCCTTTCGACCTCGCAGGCTCGCGCAAAGTGGGGGGTTGCGGTTCTGGGGAACGGCATTTTTCCTGTAAATTTCAGTATCCAGTGGCTCTTGTGACATGTTGACCTGCATTTCGACTGCGCAGGCTTGGACAAAGTGTGGTCCTAGCCTCTGGTCTGCGGCATTTACCTGTAAATTTCCGTTGCTGAATCATCATCTTCCTCACCACCACCACCATCATCCTCCTCACCATCACCATCACCATCACCATCACCATCATCATCATCATCATCATCTCCATCATCATCATCATTATCATCATCATCATCATCATCATCATCGTGTGCGTGATCGTCATCGTCATCGTCATCATCGTCATCATCGTCATCATTACCATTTCTCCTCCTCAACATCCTCTTCCTACTCTTTCTCTACATCATCATCATCATCACCATCATGAACATCATTATCATCATCATCAAAACTATATTCATCATTATCATTATCATCATCATCATCAGCAGCAGCAGCATCATCGTCATCTTGATCTTTATCTTCATCTTCACCAGCATCATCCTCACCATCATCATTTTCACCATCATCATCACCATCATCATTAACTCTTTCATCGTCATCATCATCGTCCTCATCATCTCATCACCACAATCATCATCACCCGCAGCATTATCATGTTTTGTTTCTTATCTGCCTTCATCATATTCATCAGCATTATCATTGTCATCGTCATTCTCACATTCATCATCATCATCGTCATCATCATCATCATCATCTTCTTCTTCTTCTTCATCCGCACCATCAGCATGTTCCTCCCCATCATCATCATCATCCTCAGCATCATCATCATCATCATCATCATCATTATCATCCCCACTATCCCCATCATCGTCATCATCATCACCCTCATTATTATTATCTTCCTCCTCTACATCATCACCTTTAAGCCTCCCATCCCACTTCATCTTCTGCATAATTATCCGCATTTTTATTATTGTCATCATCGTCATCATCACCACCATTTTTATTATCATCATCATCATCGTCATCACCATCCGCATTAACATTTTCCTACATTACCCTCCCGCTCCCCCCACTGTTTGGGGTTTCCTTTTTTTTCATCATTTGTATTTATATAAATATATATATATAAATATGCGGGAATATGTCATCAGCAACTGAGAAGGGAACTAAACTACAACATGTTACCAAAAAACGGTTGAAACCATGTAAAGCCAAGAATCTTTGAGCAACTTGCCCACTGAATCAGCTCAGGATCGATTTCGCGGTGGTTTGCGGCAGCTGGGTGGAACTTTTTGCGGCCACTTGGCGAAGACCGAGCACCGAGTGGTACATCACAAGGTGAATGGTGAGTTCACCACCTATAGGTCCCGTTGGTGAAATAATTTGTGATACCCAGATGATCATATCTAGACATGGTCCTTGTGGGGTGAAGAAGGTTGAACGTGATGAACGTGAACATTCATCAGGTCATCCGGTCGCTTCACTTGATCTCGGGACAACAGTGTCCCAGAGGGTCATGGTATCTGGGTCCTTCAGAATCTCGAGAGCAATAAATCTAAGACCTAGGAGAGAGTTAGGCAGCATGATGGAAAAAAATGAGAGAAACTTCGGGTAGGGTCACAGATAGATGTATGGTTATGCTCTGTTTTCAGCGGGTAACACTTCAAGATTCTTCAGTTGGAATGTGCACAATTGCGGCATGTTTTGCGTAGCTTGCCCTGGTCACTTTTGGGATTTAAAGTGTTTTCATGTGTGTGTGTGTCGCCCTCTTTATTCTGTTTTTTATTCGGTGTTTTTATTTTCAGAATATATCATACCCCATTTCGATCCATGTCGGGAGTTATGAATTTTAGCTAGTAGACAGTCATGTGGCCGCGCATCAAGTTTCACAGGGGGTTGAATCAGAATATCTTTCTGGCAATGTGATAGAGGAAATTATATAAACCATTGTGGATCACTCCCAATAAACCAACCCAAGGGTTAACATCAAAGTTCAGTGTGAATCATGGATGAATTTCCTTTAGTGATTCTTCAAAAATGACCCGGCACACCTGAGTGTTTGCACCTGAAACTCAGTTTTGGCCTATTAGATTCCGCAAATATCCAAACTGTATATATATTTATATACAGTATACAGATATACATACAGTTACATACATTTACATATCAACACAGATGCCAACGTGTTTACATGTATGCATACCTACATAGATACATGGGTACATAGATACATAGATTAATAGATACATGCATACATTTATACACATTCATAATCATGCATTATACAATACATCCATCATTTCCATGCATCCCCATAAAAAGTAAATAAATGATACTGAAAATCCTGTTCAAGTCCAGAACACTACAAGAAAGAATCATATGAACATGAGTCACATTATATACCTACTATTCACTCCCATTTTATCTTCACAGACCAACACAGAAAATCAAAAACGAACAAAAACTGAGGCGAGTCTGCCCACTTCCCCCACCTTTCTACGGATGCTTCGCCTGGGCAAACTGCTCCGTGCGGTGCGTGTGGTGCGACTCTCGTGCCGCGGCGATGACAGCCATGGCATTCCCGATGTCCGGAGTTTAGCACGACAAAAACATGGTCTTAGAAGGGTTTAGATCCGAAGAAATGTCGTTTTCACATGGTTTCACCAAGTTTAAGACGACAACAAGATACAATAAGTAATAGAATGAACGATCCGAAATGGTTGCTTGACCAAGAAAACCCGAGATTTGATATGATTTCATTGGGTAAAAAAAATGGCAGCATCTTCAGACAAGATAAATAAGGGACCACAAGTCACCATCAAAACCATTGCTATCACCGCTTTCAATCCTAAAATAGCAAAATTCGACTTGGATGACTGTTACATGGGTGCCCTCACTTCTGGAGACAACACCCAATTGACATGACACGTAAACAGATGCGGCAAGACAAATGTGGATTTGACCAAGGTAAAAAGGGCTCAAGCAACAAACATGGAGATTTCTGAGCAAACTGCCAAGTTGAAGTATGACACAATGAGGAGCAAACCAGCCAACACATGCAAGTTAAAGATGCGACATGCCTCATCGTCCCGTTGCGCGTCGGGACACAACTTAGCTTCACCCCTTACTCACCCACTTCATGAAGTGTATTATGTTGGACGGCGCCCAAGGTTGTGAAAACGAGTTCAGTTGAACGGCACCATTTTTTCCAAAGGTCCAACGGATAGGGAACAAACTGAGGCAAGTGTTGGAATCTTTGCAGCTGCTCTTGATGCTCGGTGCCGGTTTTGGGCGGCAACATGGACTGACATATCAGTCTGTCACAAGGTGAACAGCGCCTAAAGTGGGTCTCTTAAAATTAAAGGGAAGTTTCCAGACCCGGTTTCAATACTAAAATCATCAAAACATCACAAATAATATTGAGGAAATCATCTAATTTTGGATGATTTGGGGTACCCTACTTTAGGAATCCGCCATCGAATTAGCATTTGTTTGTTGATTGCGTTTCTGGCCCTCGTTTTTTTGTTTTCAGTTTGCTTCGCATTGTCCTGCTTCTACTCGCATTTTGTGCCATTCCTTTCTAAATGAACCGCCTTTTTTCCAGCAGACTCAATCCCGGGCGAATCCACCCTACTTCTTGCTGGTGAACATCCAAATAGATCCAATGGTACTTCCTTGGCCGCGAGAGACACGGAGTGAACCTGTTTAAAACCTTAAAGTGATCCAAGAGAACAAACATAGATTCCAATCAAAAATCATGTTTTTTTTTGGAATTCTATGAAATTCCTTATAGGATACCTTTGTCATCATTCTTTAAACATGGTTTCACCATGGTTTCACTAAAAACCAGGTCCAGATCTCAGGAAATGCATCGCGGCCTCCTTGAAGATCCTCTTCTGGTCCTTGGTGCTGCTAATGGTCATCCAGTGCAGCGCGGGGATGACCATCTCCTATATGCTCAGTGACTTCATGGTGACTGACGATGGTACCCCGGTGGCATCCGGTGGCATCCGGTGGCGTCCGGTGGCCCCTAATGTCAGGTTAAATTTTGGCGACCTTGGCGGTAATCACAATTTTGCCCAAAAATGCGGTGAACGCCTAAAAATGAAACTGGTTGGTGGTTTGGAACATGGCTTTTATTTTTCCAAATATAAGGAATTTCATCATCCCAACTGACGAAGTCATATTTTTCAGAGGGGTAGGCCCAACCACCAACCAGGAAAGGGCTTAGATATGCCGAAGATGAGCGGTCAGTCCTGGAGAGACCATGGTCACTATGCGGTATTTCCGACAAATGTCATAGTTTTCAGGGGCAAAACCATGTGTCACCATGACAAATTAACATGGAGCCACGACATATTCCAACAAATATCGCCCTAAATCACACCAAATCATATATTAAATGGTGATCTGCCCTAAATTGATAAAATGTTGATAAATGTGGATAAATGTGGATAAAATGTGGCCCATGTTAAATCACAATAAACCATATTGCCCACATATTATCCACATTTTATCCACAAATCATCGCTAACCAAGGCAACGAAGAGGCCCGCTTCCAAGTTTACCACTACTACGGCACCTTCTCCAAGAGCCCTGGTGATATGTGTTTGGCCGCGGATCTACAGATTTTTGCTGGTGATTTGGTTTATCAATGATCCATAATCATACTAGATTATAGTATTATTATTAATGATCATTGTTAAACCATAATCGTAGATAAACCAATGATTTTGTATCAGTTTTGATGAATAATACTAATAATCACCTAATCATAGCCATCTATAATGATACGTGATCATATATATATTTATTTATTTATTGGCTATGATTTGCCGGAAAATTTGCAGAAAACCATGGTTGAAAACCCACTAAATATAGGGTTTTTCTGTAAATTTTCCCTTAAACCATTCCAATGAAATATGGGTTAGTCTGAAAAATAAGGGTACCCCAAAATCCCATGGGTAGAATTTTCCATGTCAAATTGTCATTTAAAGGAAAAATATCCAATATACCCCATTTTCAGACACACTCATATTGTGTGTTATATAGTGGATACTGAACCTCGGATCTAATTTGGAATTATTTTTTCTAACTGGGATAAGGGTGTACCATATCAATATTCAAGTTACAGGTGATATATAGCGCAATTGGGATTTAGATTGCAAGGTCACTGTAATACCCATTGCTTGTGATATATATATATATATGATATGATATATAGTGACTACTGTAATTGGGATTTCAATGGGATTTATATTGTAGAATAAGGATATGATATAATAATATATCACCAAATGGTATGATCATGCCCGTCTCACTTGATCTTTGAAAATGCATATCTTGCCCACTTATTTCCAGACTTTGCGTTTCTCACTGAATCCGAACACTCGAGTAGTAAGGACCTGTGGCATACAGGAGAAAAAGTGTGTGTATATATATATATAATGTTTGCATCTGATTAGTGTGAGGGGCCCCCCCCCCTAAACAATTTGAGGATACTCTATAACTCGCACTTTTTTTTGCCCCCCCCTCAACATTTTTTTTGTCAATCAACTTAAGAAAGGATTGCAATTTACTTTCAATTGATTTCAATTTGCTTTCAATTGATTTCAATTTACTTTTAATTAATTTAATTACTTTTAATTTACTTTTAATTTACTTTCAATTTACTTTCAATTGATTTCAATTTACTTTTAATTTACTTTCAATTGATTTCAATTTACTTTCAATTTACTTTCAATTTACTTTTAATTTACTTTTAATTTACTTTCAATTTACTTTCAATTGATTTCAATTTACTTTTAATTTACTTTCAATTGATTTCAATTTACTTCCAATTTACTTTCAATTTACTTTCAATTTACTTTTAATTTACTTTTAATTTAATTTACTTTCAATTTACTTTCAATTGATTTCAATTTACTTTTAATTTACTTTCAATTGATTTCAATTTACTTTCAATTGATTTCAATTTACTTTAATTTATTTTCAATTTACTTTCAATTGATTTCAATTTACTTTTAATTTACTTTTATTTTTTTTCACTCCCAAAAGTTGGTGCTCACAATAGAGTACCATCCAAACAATTATATTATTGAGTAACTGAGCCAATCATGAGGTATCCCCTTGAAAAATTGTCTGGGTGCTGTTTTTTAATAAGGGTTTAATAAGGCATCTAATTATTTGGAAAACCTTGCATTTTAAAGCTTTAACACAACTATGGCTTTCTAAAGTAAAGGACCAGCTTTACCCAAAGAAAGGTGGAGAAAGGGTTTTGTTTTTTTTTCAATCCCAAAAGTTGGTGCTCACAATAGAGTACCATCCAAACAATTATATTATTGAGTAACTGAGCCACTCATGAGGTACCCCTTGAAAAATTGTCTGGATGCTGTTTTTTAATAAGGGTTTAATAAGGCATCTAATTATTTGGAAAACCTTGCATTTTAAAGCTTTAACACAAATATAGCTTTCTAAAGTAAAGGCACAGCTTTACCCAAAGAAAGGTGGAGAAAGGTTTTTGCTTTTTTTTTCACTCCCAAAAGTTGGTGCTCACAATAGAGTACCATCCAAACAATTATATTATTGAGTAACTGAGCCACTCATGAGGTATCCCCTTGAAAAATTGTCTGGGTGCTGTTTTTTAATAAGGGTTTAATAAGGCATCTAATTATTTGGAAAACCTTGCATTTTAAAGCTTTAACACAAATATGGCTTTCTAAAGTAAAAGGACCAGCTTTACCCAAAGAAAGGTGGAGAAAGGGTTTTGTTTTTTTTTCACTCCCAAAAGTTGGTGCTCACAATAGAGTACCATCCAAACAATTATATTATTGAGTAACTGAGCCACTCATGAGGTACCCCTTTGAAAAATTGTCTGGATGCTGTTTTTTAATAAGGGTTTAATAAGGCATCTAATTATTTGGGAAACCTTGCATTTTAAAGCTTTAACACAACTATGGCTTTCTAAAGTGAAAGGGCCAGCTTTACCCAAAGAAAGGTGGAGAAAGGGTTTTGTTTTTTTTTCACTCCAAAAAGTTGGTGCTCACAATAGAGTACCATCCAAACAATTATATTATTGAGTAACTGAGCCACTCATGAGGTACCCCTTTGAAAAATTGTCTGGGTGCTGTTTTTTAATAAGGGTTTAATAAGGCATCTAATTATTTGGAAAACCTTGCATTTTAAAGCTTTAACACAAATATGGCTTTCTAAAGTGAAAGGGCCAGCTTTACCCAAAGAAAGGTGGAGAAAGGGTTTTGTTTTTTTTCAATCCCAAAAGTTGGTGCTCACAATAGAGTACCATCCAAACAATTATATTATTGAGTAACTGAGCCACTCATGAGCTACCCCTTTGAAAAATTGTCTGGATGCTGTTTTTTAATAAGGGTTTAATAAGGCATCTAATTATTTGGAAAACCTTCCATTTTAAAGCTTTAACACAAATATGGTTTTCTAAAGTAAAAGGGCCAGCTTTACCCAAAGAAAGGTGGAGAAAGGGTTTTGTTGTTTTTTTTTCACTCCCAAAAGTTGGTGCTCACAATAGAGTACCATCCAAACAATTATATTATTGAGTAACTGAGCCACTCATGAGCTACCCCTTTGAAAAATTGTCTGGATGCTGTTTTTTAAGAAGGGTTTAATAAGGCATCTAATTATTTGGAAAACCTTGCATTTTAAAGCTTTAACATAAATATGGCTTTCTAAAGTAAAAGGACCAGCTTTACCCAAAGAAAGGTGGAGAAAGGGTTTTGTTTTTTTTTTCACTCCAAAAAGTTGGTGCTCACAATAGAGTACCATCCAAACAATTATATTATTGAGTAACTGAGCCACTCATGAGGTACCCCCTTGAAAAATTGTCTGAGTGCTGTTTTTTAATAAGGGTTTAATAAGGCATCTAATTATTTGGAAAACCTTGCATTTTAAAGCTTTAACGCAACTATGGCTTTCTAAAGTGAAAGGGCCAGCTTTACCCAAAGAAAGGTGGAGAAAGGGTTTTGTTTTTTTTTCAATCCCAAAAGTTGGTGCTCACAATAGAGTACCATCCAAACAATTATACTATTGAGTAACTGAGCCACTCATGAGGTACCCCTTTGAAAAATTGTCTGGATGCTGTTTTTTAATAAGGGTTTAATAAGGCATTTAAAATAAAATTAAAAATCTAATAAACATAAATAATTAGATTTTTTTTTAAAAAAAAAGTTAAAGCATTTGGAAAAAGAAAATGAAAAAAATCTGGAAAAATATCATCTGGAAAAAAATCTCACAATAGAGTTCCCCCCCAACAATTTGCATGTGACTGAATTAGGAGCAAGAAAGTTCTCACAATAGGGTACCAGGACACTAATCGGGTGCAAACATTATACATATAGTATGACATGTATAGTGAATAATCAGACAATTGGAATATAGCATAGCAATTTGCTGGTGAACATTTATATAGACAATATGATACTGTATGATATATATATATATAGTCATAGTGAATGATTGGAATATAGTATCAACAAAAATCACCAGCAGAATTGGAATTGTTTACAAATGTTAAAGACATGCAATGGAACACTATCTATGGATATCCGTTGATATAGCACACATGTAGTTGTATAGTACTTGGGTAATGGGGATTTTTAATTGCTATAATAGAGATTTTGAGTCGGGATTTACTATCCATTTCTATGGGCGGAACATCATGGGAACATCATGGAGAATATTCATGGATAGCTCGCTTTTTAGTTGTCATGTGAATCAAACTGTCAATAACTATTGGGAGTTTGGATAGGAATATCATGGGGATATAGTTTGGGATATAACCAAACCAGAATAAGCAATCAAACATGGCTGGGAAATTCGAGAAATAGATGGTGGTTTATTGCCTGATAGCTAGGAAAATCATCGACAAAAATATGGGCCAAAGTTTCCATAGCGGCTTCCATAGCGAGCTGTTAGTTGTTAACAGAGGATATCCGATTCAAATTCGGGTGGAATTGATCCACCCGCGATCTCCGATGTGCATCAAACATGATGGCTAGTTATATCTAGTTATTATCAAAGATGGAGGGTTAGCCATCAAAAATCCAGGGTTAACCATCGAATCAAACATGGATTTATATAATCTCAATAAGGGGCCAGCAATGAACAGAGTCAGAGTTCTAAAGTGGATAAATGATAACAATAATCTTACCACAATGTCATTGTAAATGGTGATGGCTAGCTATCCCAAAATGGCTCAACTGTTCAGGTGCGTCAACTATTCTACACCGGAAAATTGTTACCTAGAATGATGGCCTGCAAAGGCACTGCGTACACTTCTGATGTGAAATAGCATGGAGTTAGTACCTTGTCAGTCTTGGATGGGTAGTTTACATACCGTTGTACTTGAGTTTTTGCCATTAAAAGAACGGATATCTACTTGTGGTTAACGACTTTTTTTGGTGCTATCTAGGCTATCTATAAGTTTGCTCTTTATCTATGTATTATGTACGGACGTATATGTAACCTACAGACATGGCATTGAAGCGTAGCACGTCCTGGCGCCATTCGCCAGCCTTTGTGAAACGTATTGGCTGATTTGGACGTGTTCACCTTGGGATCATATATTTGATTTGCTTTTTCTTGCGGTATGGGTCACCCTTTGGTAAACTATCACAGCTATGGAAATCACCTTTTTCTACAGGTAAATCATTTGTACGCCATTTTCCATACGTATGTTTAGTTTTGCTGCAGGGTGCGTTGTATATGTACATATATATATATAGATATATATATATATAGAATAAAAATATGATTTCCCAGGGTCCAGGCCAATGCATGCGCCATGAAAACTGTGAAGCAACCGGTATGGGGATGATCCAACACTCAGGCTTCAACGGCTGGACTGTGGGTTTTTGTGTGGCTGGTTGGTGTGTCTTCGCTACAGTCAGGTGGTAGGGTATATCCAGTATTGGTTATTTCCATGTTTTGTCAATTGGCATCTTGTTTTTTTATTGATTTGATAGTTTAAATTCAATGTTTTTTTCATATTTTTCCAGCTATTCACCTTCATCTTGTGTTTGTTCAGGACGCTACTCACTATGTTTGAAGTGCTCTTCGCTAATTGGGCTCCTGCGTGTCGCGTGCTCATTGACAATGCTTCTTGGCACGCCATCGGATCCATCGTGCCTGTTTGGTTGAGACTTGGGCATCATGAGCAACATGATAAACTTTCCAGAAACTTACCATATAATGTCAACCCCGGATGAATAAACCCTGGTTGATTAATTGTGGTGGTTCCCCAAACAGCCTCCTCGTGGTGCCGGTGGATCATTCGGGCCTTGTCAGCCAGAATGATACTGACGAGTACGGAGAAACCTATTTCAGGATACTCAGAGAAAAGCATTTTTGCCGCATACAAATTCCCAAAGAAATTCAAAATGCATCAGCAATTTGTGAGCTTTCCAGTTGTGAGTGGGCCCTCCCCACTTGGTGGTAAGTTTACTATGATTGCAATTATGATCACGTTGTGCTTTAGCCAATGCAATGCCAGCTACTCCTCACATCTTGTGCCCTTGAGTTGTGCCCAGACAGATGTCGTGAGTGCCTGGCCCTTAATTGAATGGACGCATCTTCCAATTGAAATTTGCAACAGTTGCAACCCGGTCACAGCAATGACAAGCTGTGGTTGTGATGAGACTGAAAAGGGCAGATCAACAGTACACCACTGTTTGAGACACTCGAGAGTAGAAATCACGAACAAAAATATCGCGACCGAATGCAGTTTTTCGCGGAGGCAAATGGAAAGCTGGTTTTGTTGTTTTTCCGAAACTTTTCTCCTGTCGCCATCATGTGGCTGATGCACTCCTGCTTTTACACTGATTTTTGCCAAAAAAACAAAAAGAAAAGAAAGAAAAAGCGCAAGCAGTCGCAAAACAAGCATCGACCACACTGACCACACAGAAAAAGCAGACACGTGGGAATCTGCCGTCGTGTTGCTGGTCGAAGGTACCGAGTGAAAATTGAAAAATAACGCCTCGACGGTCAAAGAAAGAGATGTCAAATCAAATGCTGAAAAATTGCACATGTCACCTGTGACGCATGTCCAAAAGTCAAAACACCTGGTCAAGCAACCAAAGCCACTTCCAACGGTCAGTCAACTGATCGCATGGGTATGTGGATTGTTGGGAGTACGGGTCGGTGAAGCAAGCCACCCAGGACCGGCAAACATCGGCACAAAACGAAAGGCTGAAAATGAACCTTAGTCTCACGACGATGCTGATGCGGGTTTAGCCACTGCCCTACTGAATGTGCTGCAGCAGTACTAGGGGCAACAGAACACCCGACCACACCAAGTGGGGCCACCAGTCAACAAGAAAGGCAAAGGTGGTCCAACTCCGGTGCCAACTGGCTCACGACTTGCGCGTGTCCGGTGGCAAACCCTCCAAGCGGCCCTGTCCCAGGGCTGGACTGATCAGCAAGTTGCTCAGAGATTAGTCACCAAAATCAACAGATATGTACCTGCAACACATGCAGAAGTAGCTGATACCCCTGTTGAAAAAATAATTCCAAACAGCCATCTGTCGAATACGAAAAACATTCTGGGGGAACGGCTGTATGATCGCACTGCGATTTGAATGGACGGACCATTTTGGGGGTTAAGGTTTTGATTTTTGAGTCATTCGAATGTGGAGGCTGGGCTCCCAAAATTACTTTCTTCGAGTGATCCGCACCAAGTGACATTTTTTCCGACGTATATTCTGACATTCTGTTTGGCATTCTCTCTGACATGAATTGTGGCATTTTATCTGACGTTCCTTCTGACACTTCAGCTGACACTTGAGCTGGCATTCTAACTGACATAGAATTTGACATTCTATCTGTCGTCGTATCTGGCATTCTATCTGACATATATATATATATATACACACATATATGTATATATTATACATGTGTATTTAATTTACAATTTACATACATTCTGGCATGTTTTCTGTCATCTATTTCGACATCCTATCTGACATTCTTTCTGGCATGTGAGTCTAATGTATGAGTGTTCTGCATTTTTTCTTTAAGCAAGCAAGTCATCAATCACCCAGTAAAGACATCAATGCCAAGAGCGTGGAAAGGGGGAGCGCATATAGGTCAGTCGCACTCCTTTGAATTCCCAGAACTTCCATTCCTCCTTATTTAATTTAAGGAGTTTTTTTTTAAAAGGAATTCCACCTTAATTAAGGAGGAATTCCCTTAATTAAGGAGGAATTTTTCCTTAATTAAGGAATTCCACCTTAATTAAGGAGGAATTCTCCTTAATTAAGGTGTTTTTTTAACAATTCCTCCTTAATCTTTTTTTAAGGAGGATTTTTTCCACTGTTTTTAGATACATCTTTGACATCATCATTGCATCAAGACCAACCTTTGGAGGTTGCTTCAAGGAGATGCAAGATCTCCTTTTGGTGTTTTGATTTCCTGCATGTACTGTTTCTGCATCGCATCTGCAGTTGATTTCTCAAGATGAATAGAGCTAAGAACACTGCTTCTGTTCAAGACCTTTGCACATGTTTGAAAGCAGAGGTGGCTTGTTTGGATCCCAAGGAGTACTTGGATGTTGAAATTGATCAAGTTTGCAAGCATTATCGAAAATGTCTGGGCTTGATGTTCCAGAAAACAATTCGACCATCCAAAGACTGCTTGAAGGAAGCTGCCTTGAAAGTCAACCCTCGCACTTTGAGTGACGAAGCGAAGAAGTGGTCTTCTGCAATTGTCGAATGTGTGCAACACATCAGAACAAAAACAAAATGGTCAATTTCAAGTAAGAAATATGAGCCTTGGATGGGTAAGCTTGTGAAGATCTATCTGGAGTGCTCAGAATTCCATGGGAACCGGCAGAAAGGCAAGTTTGTTCAGAAAGCCATTGCCAAGCGAAGGCTCATGAGACAAAGTTCCAAAGCGAGCTCCATCCCACAGTTGCCTGTGAATGAACCACTTTTGCAAAAACTTCCTCCAGGCCACAGCTCAGAAACATTGGATAGCCAAGAGCATCAATTGATAGAAGTGTCGAGTGAAGAGAGCCAAGCGAGTCCTAAGAAGCCTGTGAGTGTTGGAACCTGGATCGATTCTACTGCCATGGTGGTATGTCGCTTTGTGGATAGCAAGGTGGAGAAAGCTACTATGAGTGAAGGACCAAATGGCTTCGCCATTGCTGCTTTTGGTGAAAACAAATTTGAATCTGAAATTCCCAATGAATCTTTGAAGATCTATAGGCAATCTGCAGGTGGGAAAAAGCCTGCTGCAGTCTTGAAAAGGCCTGCTGCAATCTTGAAAAAGCGTGCTGCATGTGAAGCAGTACTTGGCACTTCTGAAGAAGAGGATGTTGAAGCTCGGCCGGCTGTTGCAGTGGCTGATCCTGAACCTGCTGCTGTTGACTTGGCATCTCCTGAATATCGCTTGGAAGATTATCCTGCCAAAGGCAGTCGAAAGTATGGTGCTTTAGGTGTCAGACGAAATTTTGGAGACAAGAAACAAAACAAATCTTTCACTTTGAACAAAATTTCAAGAGAAGTTGGCTTGGATTTGGCCCAGAAATGCATTGCTGATTTGCACAATGGTGCTACTGAACAATCTGTGATTGAATTTTTGAATGAGGAAATTCGAAAGTGGAAGGTTGGACAGGATGTGGATTAGATTGGATGAAATTGCAAAAAAAATGGCTGCTGATTTCTGTTGCATGTTTCAAGGAGGTGTAAAATCTCCTGAGAGTTCTCAATAGGAAAATAGGAAATAGTCTTTCCACTTTTCTGTCTTAAGGAGGTGCAAGATCTCCTGACATTTGGAACTTGAGAGTTTACTGCCTGGGTGGATTTCAAAAATGGCTTATAGACTTTCATAGGATGTGGCTTTAATGTTTAATGTTGGGTTGGAATTCTGGATTTGAGAAGTTTTGTCTGGAATTTGGAATGTTGAAATTGTTTGGCATGGCAATTGCAGTGTTGAGAATGGATTTTGCAACTGAAGCTGCTTTGGCTTTCTAGCTCCTGTTTCAGTGCTCGATATTTTTTCTTGCTGTTGCTATGGGAGCTGGACAATCAAGTTCCTCTCGCAGGAGGCCTGGAGATGAGGAGATTGACCGTGTTTTGGAGCTGATCAGGCTACAAAACCAGGTGATCCAGGCATTGACACCTCATGTCAATGCCCAATCGCAACCTTTACCACCTCCAAATACACCTCCTCCAGCACCTATTCCAGGTGCCCCTCCAAGTTCTCATGACCCTCCAGGTGCTTCTCCAATGCCCCTTCCAATGCCCCCTCCAAGTACCCCAGCGCCTGCCACCTCGCCTTCTACAAGCTACTTGAGAACATTTCCTGGATGAAGGAATGATCTACACAGGCTGGAGTTTTCTGTGACTGTGGATTTGAAAGCATCTCATGTCAACCATGCACTGTGCAATATGTTCATCATCATGCCTCCTGATCAGGTCCTGCTGTAACCCCATATTCTCCTACATCACCTATTGATGCTGGAGAGCAAGCCGAAAAATCAAAAGAGGATGAGGATTCAAATGTAGATTGAGTCAATTGAGCTTCCCTGGAAAAATGATTGGAGATTATGGGCGCAAGCGACTCTTTAAGGAGGTGCCAGATCTCCTTGATAAACTAAATTTAAATTTAAGTAAAACATGATATCTGTGATATGAGCATTTCTGCATGGCTGAAGCTGTCGAGTCATATTGATCAATGTAGTTGTGATGGACCTGTAGAATCATTTTTGAAGCCTTGATGGATGCACATGATCAGCTTTGGAATGATGATGAGAGCTGATGATCTGAACCTGAGGTATCACAATCATTGCACTAGTGTCCAATACTGGAATCAAAAAGGAGGTGCAAGATCTCCTTGGCCGAAGCTGATGCCCATCCATTTCCTTTGTTTGAGTGGCTCTTGGCAACTCTGGATACAATTCACTCAGGTCATGCATGATGACTGTAAAGGTTTCAAATTGAAAAATAAGGAGGTTAAAATTGGTTAAAATTAAAATTGCCAATTTTAATTTTAACCAGTTTATGTATTACTTTTAAAGGCAGGATAGGTTAAAATTCAAATTGGCAATTTTAATTTTAACCAATTTTAACCTCCAATAAAAATCACTTTGGATCCAAAATAGAAACCATCGGATTTGGAACTGGAGATTCATAGACATCACAACTTACTTCATCATTGCACTTTTCAGTTTTCAGTGAAAGGTTCAATGGAACCTCCAAAGGAACTGCCTCCATGGAGGAAGCAGCCACTGGCCACCATTGAGAAGAAATTTGTGGACCCAATGGACAAGCAGATCTCAGGCCAGGCTTTGGATGACAAGGGGGTCAGTAAGCCTTTGAAGGAGTTTCAGAATGTGTGCAACAGTCTGAATTCCTGCAAGAATGCCTGGGAGAAGGAGCTTGCCAAGGCCCAGGACCTGGCCTGTCGTTTGGAAATCAAAGGTGACCCAAGCTTCCATGCCAAAGGCAAAGGTCTTCAGACTTGGTGTCAAGAGCAGTTGAAAGCCATTGCCAACCTTCGATCCTATGTCGCAGCCAGTGAAGATCTTGCTCCTGAGGACACTTCTCCTGAAAGCCTTTCGAAATCATTGCCTGCTGCCAAAGCATGGCTTGCTTCCAGCCAAGAGAAGCTGCAAGAAGCAAAAGCCAAGGTGAAAACTCACCAGGCATTGCTGTAGGAGCTGTTTGGCCCTTAGATTTTGGAAAGCGCATTTGGTGCAGTTGTCAGTTTTGGAATGTGGAAATGCAGATTAAAATATCGCAGGGATCTGCTTGGAAGATGCGCAGCTGGTAACTGTCGCTGGAAAAAGAGCCTGCTTCTAAGCTGGTGTACAAGACTCAAGGAGGTGTAAGATCTCCTTTACTGTTTCCCTGTTTCAAAGCATTGGCCAAATTTAGCATTAACTAAATACAATGTGTAACTTCTTGTCTTCTGAGATCTTATGAACTTTTATGTTGACATGTTTTTCCAGCTCAAGCCATGTTTCACAAGAGAAAGGTAGATTTGTCTACCCTTAGGGAACCTGACCAGAAGAGGTTTCGACACAATGTGTCCAATTTGTTTTTGACCAAGACTGTCTCTGCTAGAAGAGCCAATGAGCTCATGAAAGATGCACAAATAGCTGGAGCCGCTGGTGTGAAAGATTTGGTCAAAGGTGCAGAGAAATCTGGCAGTGGTGAGAAGCAAGCCAATTGGGAAAAGAATTTGGCAAGGGATATGAAAAGAAACATGTTGAAGAACTGCCTGTGGTTCAATGAATACATTGCATTGATCCCTTGCTACAATCCTGAAACACAAGCAGAAGAGATGAAGAAGATACCTTTTCTTTTGCCACATGAGATTCATTTTGTCTTCTCGAAGCGCTCTGAGAAGAAAGGCTTGCTGCAGACTGGTGGCATGTGTGAACTCAGCAAAAAACATTTGGCGAACATGCAAATGCAGTTCCAAGTTCGAGAAGCCATAGGACTTGGCCTTTGGATCGATGGCACACCTTACAATTATGACAGAAGTCAAACTTTGGAATGCATCTCATTGAATTTTCCTGGCTTACTTCCACCTAATGGTACTTTGCGAATCCCTTTGTGCTGTATTCCAAAGCACTGGTGCATCAAGGGAGTAACTTTGTCGAAGATGTTAGGAATTTTGTCTTGGTCTTTTATTCACTTAGCCAATTGCACTTGGCCTTCAGCAAGGCATGATGGCAGCTTTTGGCACCCAGGCGACAAAAAACGAAGCACATTCAATGGCAAGGCATTGCCTTTCACTGCTTTTTTACTTGAAGTGAGAGGTGATTGGGCTATGAGAAAAGAAGTTTTCCAATTTCCTGGATGGCGAGACAAACAAGGATGCTGCCATTTGTGCTTGTGCAAACCAATTGAAATTCGAAACTTTGAAAGCTGCAAGGCATTTGATCCTTTGGACCATTTCACTTTGTTGCAATCCATTTCCAATTCTGGCATTGACATCAATGAATTGTTTCAAACACCAGGACTGACAAGCAAACAATTTCTTTTGGACTGACTTCACATTGTGGACTTGGGCGTGGCAGCAGATTTTATGGGCAATGTTTTTCACCATTTAATTGCCTCTGGAAATCACTTGCCTGGCAACAATGTCAAAGAAAGGGTGAAAAGCTTGTTCCACAGAATTCAAAGCTACTACAAGACTGAAGGTGTGGAAAACGGGCTTCCTACTTTGACAGTCCTCATGATCAGAAAGAAAGCCAGTTCAAGTCCAAAACTTCGAGCCAAAGCTGCAGAAGCTCGAGGTTTGATTACTCTTGCAAAACAAATCTGCGATGAATTTTTGGCTGATGACAATGTGTTTGAATATACAATCAAGATGGCTGCCACAGAACTGTGGCAAGGTTATTCTTTCTTGTCCAAGAATCTATGGAATCACCAGTCAATGCTGCTGCCTGGCAGAAAGTTTTTGCTGTTGTGCAAGAGCTTGGAAAACGAGACTGACCATACTTAGAAGATCAAACCAAAGCACCACAGCTTCTTAGATTTATTGCTCCAGAACTCTTGTCCATCAGACAGTTGGACATATCGAGACGACGACTTTGGTGGCTTCCTAGCTCACTTAGGAGCTGTGAAAGGCGGAAGCCACAACCCTTATTCCATAGGCATGAGTGTTCTGCAAAGTTTTCGAGCACAAGTGATTCCAGAGCTGAAGTGAAAAGTTTTGCTGCCAGGATCTGGGATAAGGAGGTTTCAAGTCTCTTGCTGAAGGAGGTGCAAGATCTCCTTGCACTTGAAAATTTAAGGAGGAATTTTAAGGAGGAATTTTTGAAAAATTCCACCTATATTTAAGGAGGAATTTTAAGGAGGAATTCCTTAAATAAGGAGGAATGGAAGTTCTGGGTTCTCTCATGGACTCAAGGGTTATCCAGCATGGCTCGGTCACCAAAAGTCAACAACTTGCAACGTCCAAATCGAACCACCGGGATTTGCGCATCAGCGAAGCGTCGGCTACGCTTTTTCCTATGCCCTTTTTCCCAAATAGACTTGATGATGGCCAACCCGCAGAAGCACTTGCTAAACAACCCATGTTTTCAACTGCTACTGCGCCTCCTGCGAGCCAAATTTGTCCTAGATTGAGGTTAGCGAATGGTATTCCGTGGCCTTCATTGTGTATCGACGCTTGGCGTCCATGGGGAAGGTTGATGTGTCAATGGTATAAATATGAAGCTGCGAGGCTTCACTTATGGGTTAATTAAATTAAATCATGGTGAGTGGCACTTCTTTAGGCAACGTTTTCCCCCACAAAACGAAATTGTTTCGTTCCCCGATGGTCGCCGATAGGTTGCTTCGTAGGCTTTGCCGTGTTGAATGTTGTGAACGTCGCTTGGCTCAGGTTGGTGGGAGCCGGTAACCGGGAACCAACATTTGGGCATTTCTTAAATGGCCATGTGAAATCATGGTAAATCCCATGTGGGAAAACCATCGTTACATGGAGAAAATGGGAGAATATTCCGATGCCGGATTAGCTATAGAGATGTTTCGCTTTGATGAAGGATTGTTTGATGCTTACTATAAATGCTATGAGCAGGGTTCGGCCGAAAATCATTTAACCCCCAAAATGTTTGCGTGTTTTGACACATTGACAGTCAAATCTCTTTGCTACATCTCTGATGCATGTACCTATTATCCGCTGCAGCAAGGCAAAACCCCCGCAGTTTCCATAGAAACTGGACTGGTGATTTGTTTCGAAACATTTGCAGGGGCCCTGCTGGGCGCCTGGCCGATCAAGTCGGTGCAGGAGGAGGATGCTTTAATTTTTTGATTTCGCAGAGAAAGCGAATCGGTTCGCAATGGGGCGGTTCCTGATGCATGAGGCTAAGGCTGCGAAATCTTCGGATTCGGCAGTCGAAGAGATGAAAACAATCTAGTGAAACTCATGTCAAGCTCGAACGTCGAGCGACCACATTTCATACGTGAACCATGGCTCTCTCATAGGGGATACCATCAAAGCTGCCGAACCAGGTTTGGGATGATGAAAATACATCTTCTTGATGCACAACACAATGCATATTACATCGCCGTTTGAGTTTGTGTTTTTTGTCGGGTTGGTAGTTTCCAGATGGTACCCTCGCTCGGGGCTGCTCGGGGATGGAAATTGTATGCAAATTGGTGCCCACATGTGCCCACTATGTTCCTTTCTTTGATGGTACAACCATGTACAACCACTAAGACTCAGACCATGGTTTGCCCGTATTTTTTGGGTTCCGTGAGGCAACCCATTGATGCCCATGTAAATGCCCAAAATAGATAACATAACATAAGCCAACCCACATGGAAATTCAGCAGGTTTTGCCAATGGCAATCAATGTTAGATCAATACTAAAATCAATGTCAGCCATAATTAAAGAATTACGGAGAGCAAACTCATGGCCTCTAACATGCTCAGCACGCGGACACCAATACCACGCCCCGGTGCTGAGAGAATTAAGGAAAAACCTCTTACATTCTTGTCCAATCTTGAGTAATTTTGACCATATTTCCCTGTTTTTGATGGTCAGGCAAGATAAAACAACTGGTTGGTGGTTTGGAACATGGTTTTTATGACTTTCCATATTAATTGGGAATGTCATCATCCTAACTGACTTTCACTCCATCATTTTCAGAGGGGTGGCGATACCAACCACCAACCAGACAAATGTAAAACGATGGTTCCGTGATGTTCCCTCTCTAGATTTGTTTCATCCCAATGAATCCATCAGATCCATGAATTTGAACCACCAGCTGTCGTCCATTGAAATGGCGATTTTTTTGGAAACGCACTTGTGTTAGTTCCCCATGCGTTGTTTTGTTTTTAGGAATTGGTGTTAAGTCCTACTGTACATCTTAGATTCTTAGATCATTTTACAACATTTTATCGCATAGATCGCTATGATTTTCTTTGTAGATAGATTCGTTGTTGAATGTTGAGATCTCCAAGTGTTGATATGCTGTCTCCTTTAAATTCAAGTGGTGATGAGTTTAATCCACCATGTTCTCACCTTTTTCAACCTGGGGATCAACTTTTTGGCTGGTTCAAAAACAGTTTGAATCCATGTTTATCAAATTTCAAGCATGGTGAAACCATCATTTTGTTCAGATGTTTCCTTGGTGAAACCCAGGTGAACCCAGATTTCCAGAGATTTTCCAAGGCCGTCTTCGTGCAAAGCACCATGAAGGTGGCCCTGGCCGACGAGGAGATTATCTCCAACGAGAAGGTGGACTGATTTTTTGGGGAATCCATGGCAAGAATCAATGGCTAGCTATAGATACGAGTGTGACTTGAATAGGGGAAAATAGGGAAAGATATGGAGTATTCTTGATCAAACCCACGCATATTCACAGTTTTTGACTTCTTCTGGTGAAGTCAGTCAATTGCGCCACTTTTGTTGCTTTGAAAATCCTTTTCCTTCCAGTTCTGAGATAGGAAGCAGCGGGCATTTTTATCCTATATTCATATGATATGGGGATTATGTTTTTAATAAAACAAATTACTTTTTTTGAGTGATCCCCACCCTGACACACTATTCTGACATAGTTTCTGACATACCATCTTGAAGTATATATTATATATTGAGTAAATATTCTGTCATTCTTTCTGGCATATACTCTGACATTCTTTCCGGCATTCTATTTGGCATCTATTCTGACATACTTTCTGGCATGCATGCTGACATTCTATCTGAGCATCTATTCTGACATTTTTTCTGGCATCTATTCGGGCATTCTATCTGACATTTATTCTGACATTCTCTCTAACATGGGCCCTGCCCATTAAGATCTGGAGCTCGCGGTTGCGGTCCGGCAGATCCGAGGCTGCCAGAGGAAGAGAAGAACAAGGAGGAGGAATGAGGAGGAAGAGAAGGAGAAAGCAACTCTGATAAAATCTAGAGACCCTCACCTGACAGGTGGGGTACATATCCTGGAGTCAATCGTCACAATGGGTCTTTCGCCAACAAGAATTGTGATTTAAGACGGCACTGGCGGCTGACCCCAGCTATACCCTGTGCAGCTAAATTTGGTATTTTCCAGTATGATTTCAATCATGTCATCATGTCAGTATCAGCAGCGCCGGGTATCGCCTGCAAAAATGGGGATGGGCATGTAAACATTGCGCATCACAGCGGTCACCAGGAATTGGGATTTAAGTGGGAATGTCTATTGGGTATGATGAGGGGTTTGTACCTTACTCGGGCTCGGGATGATGGCCCCAATTGGCCAACATTGGCTAACATATTTTTCAAGGGACTGGCTGGCCTTCCAGACAGGGCAAGGCTGGTTTGTTTGCGGGGAAAATGAGAAATAAGAGGTTCAATCGCCACATTTTTTGTGGTTCAATCGGCACATTTTTTGTGGCAGGAATATGCGTGTTTACCTACAAAAAGGCATCTAACCTAATCGAGAGTCAAGGATTCTGAACGATATCACCAGACTTGATGGGAAAATCCCAAGCATGTCTTCAACTGGGGTTCAAGCCTTGAAGTATTGTATCGTCATCGAGTTGTGATGGTGTCTATTTTCCATCTCTGAAAATTGGATGGGAATCTCAATTATTTTTTATCCTATTGACGGATCCTCATGGCGTCTGAAATGACAAAATGATGTTCGTTCGGACCTTGGAAGGAACACATCCCACTTGGGATGTTCCAATATGTATGTCAGGTCATTGGGGAAATTGAGGTTTTAGATCATTTTAGACCCTTGGATCTTGGATGGATTTAAAAAAAAAACAGTAGAACCGAAAACATAACATAGATTATTCACACCTACACGCATATCAAATGTGTATTCTCATAGTCTAGTTTAATCACATGTATTTATTTACAATTTTGTTAATATAACACACCAAAATGCATATAGCATTTGGGATACATGTACATATTTTATATACGCACCATTGTTTTTCCCAAGAGAATCCTCGTTGCAGGCGCGATCGCAAGAGACCTATCGGCGCAGAGCCCCTGGGTAGCAGTAAGATTGCCGGTAAACTAATCCAGGTGCCATATGCTATGGAGAATGGTCACTTGAAATGGGTACCCTCTGGTAAACATACAAAAAACGATGGAAAATGACAATTTTTCATAGGTAAATCAACTATTTCTATGGCAATTTTCAATAGCTATGTAACAAAGTACCAGAGGGTAATTGGATGGTTACTTGTACCGGATTGGATTTTCAATGCCCCCCAGTGATGTTTTTTTGTTTATAAACCCTAACAAAACTCCCATTAACTATAGGTAGATCTACCATAAACCATGGTTGTATCTACCATAAACCATAGTTAAGCTACTTATGTTCCAACTGAACGCTATCGACTCGGGGCCCCATCCTGTAGGGATATTTGGATGGGAATCATCTACAAACCGGGCATTTTGCATCGCAAGCTGTTAGGTTCCCGGAGCCTACCCAGAAAAGATAATGGTTTTGTATTATCTGACAATAATGGAGGTATATTTTGACATACACATCTAGCACATAAATCTTGATTGGCAGTGAGAAGCAAACATGGAAATGGACCTGCTCATCCCATCCGAGTGACTGTCAATCTGAAGTCTGGTCGGATCCCATGTGTAGCTGGTTTTTGATATGGTCATACCGCGTCATATTGGCCATTTGCTGGGATGCAGCTGCATCATGCTGCATCCAGACATATAGTGAGAGTATTATGATGAGTATGTCAGAGTCACAACTGAGCCCAAATTGGGTTTCCAATCGCAAGCATGAAAAGCGCACCGGAAAAATATGTTGGCTCATCAAAAACATCTACAAGGTCAGCCCCCCAAGCACGATCAAGCTTACATAAATCCCATGAACAAACGATATCTCTACCAGAAACCATGTCAGACTCATGGAAGATCGGATCATAGACATATGCAACTTGCTGGGCTCAGTGGCTCTGTCAATTTTGAAACCTATGATTCCAAGGGCCCTCTGCTATGATCCGATGAGCTCGGATCAGGTGAATCACATCTTTCGTCAGGCTGATGTCTCAGGACATTTTGGCGCAATGTGGGGCTGGGCCGCCGGGTCAATGGGCAAATTAGATCTGTTTTTTGGGGGATGAACATAATTGAACATCCATAAATCCACAGAAACACCTGATTTGAACACCAGGGGATCCATGGCTTTGTCGCACAGCTACTGTGGCCGTCAAAAAATTCGCTGGAACCCTCAAATCCTGGCAGATGTGCTGAATGCGCTGAATGGTGTGACTTAATGATGTCATGCTCTTTATCGATTATTTAGGCATGGGCATTTTGAGAGATCAAGATCATTTAATATATATATGTATAGATTATATAGTAACTATATGGCTATATGGTATAATTAATAGTATATTAAATCATGTTTAATATAATTTAATATCATAATGTTATATCATTATCATGTTTTGGCTATCATGTTCATCTGGTTGGTGGTTTGGAACGTGTTTATTTTCCATTTCATATCTGGAATAATCCTTCCCATTGACTTTCATATTTTTCAAGATGGTTAAAACCACCAACCAGTTAACCTGTATTAACCATTATTAACCATGATTAGCACCATTATCAACCACTATTAACAATGATTGGTTCCATGATTAACCGGTCATGGGCCAGGGGATTTTGGACCCAACATCCAACCAGTCATGTCAGGGCTTCACCATGGATCACCGGACTCAGGAGATGGGATCATCGATCTGCCGGAGTTCATTCGACTGCTGGAGCACCCACAGCTGCAGGCGCTATGCGTGAAACAAAAACCAACAAAACTGGCGGCAGAATCCAATAAAGAACTGGGATTTTACTGGAAAAACCAACTTTACTGGAATTTAATTCGGATAAAACCAACGTTACTGGGATTTAGTTTGGATCAATGGCGATTTTCATGGGAATGAATGGGGGTTAACTGGAAAAAATGAGGATGTGAATTGGATTTAACTGTGAAAAATGTTGAAATTTCCCTTGGGTTTAATGGGGTGCAACTCGATCAGCAATGGTGATGATCTGTGCTTTGTGGGGATTTAAGATGGGGATTTTGTGCAATTGATGGGAATACTCTTGGGATATGTTGTTGATATCCATGGGGTAATATATATGGTATGTGTATGTATATATATATAGTGTATAGTGTACAGATTTATTATAATGTTCTTTAACGTGTACCATGTTTAAAATAGTTGGATTATGACTACCCATTAATTGGGGATGGTCATCAATCAGCAACCAGTAGTGCCCGACTGCGCTGGGGCGGAAGTTTCGAATGCAATGAGATGCAGAAGCACTGAGAGATTCAGGTTGTGATGTGCATCAAGGAATGAGCAAGTGGTTGTTGAGATGCCAATGACATCGAATGCAATCAATGCCATGAAGGAATCAATGCACGAATGGCTGAGTGAATGAGTGAGTGAATCAAGGAAATGAATGGATGATTGAATTAATGAATCAACCAATGAAGCGAACAGCGAACAATGACTCAATGAATGAGATCAAGTAATGAAACGATGAAGGGGTGAATCACTCAGTGAATCCATGACTGAGCGCGGCAATCAATGAATGAGTGAATTATTAATTAATGAATGAACTCATGTTTTGCACTTTTTCTAATAGAGGGGAGAGTGAGACAGACAATGATTGAAGCATTTAATGTTTCGCATCCAAGTGGTGCTTGCCCCTCTGATTCGTCATCTCTGGCTCAGAAGTAGCCTAGCTAACTTAGCAGAGCACCAATGGCGGTTTTCTTGTTCTTTATATAAGGTGCAAAACAGCCCCAGTAGGGGATGGATGCCAATAAGCGTTTTCTATTCATGGCACATGTGTCGTCTGATTATTTGCAAATGATTTTCTCGTGCCTTGTGTTGTGTGTATATGTTCGAACTCATGTGGTTGTTTAGTTTTTGTCATTGAGCCTCCTATGAGGATACTGTCCAGTTCTATTGTAAGAGATTGTGAGAGATGCCGCAGTGATACTGCAAGGGATGCAGACAGCCAATGGAAGATAATTCTTCCTGACGGCCAAATCAGGCTTGGAAGATAATTTAGGCGTCACTGTGAAATTGAAATTCATTACTGTGTACGGTTTACTTACTTGGGCATCACCCAGAAGCCAAAGGAGAAGTTGACCAAGAGAAAGAGAGAATGGGAGAGAGAGAGAGAGCCCTTACCGTTCAGTATGTTGCGTTTTTGGCGTCACTCGGACATTTAAAGATGTTACTCTATCTCCCAGATAAGAAGACAGGGGGATGATTAGAAAGCGAACAGATACAAAGAAAGACTTACCATTCAGACTGTAAACTGTCGACCGGGTTCTCTGGTGGTTTTGTGTGGAGCGGGCTATGCTGTCTATCCTCTTCCATATCTGCCATCATGCAGGTATGGCTACACTTGCTTGAACTTGATACCACCGCAGCTTGCTCTGAATCCAGTGGTGACAGTGCAAAGTGTGAGCCATGCTTGGGATAACTGGCCAGAGAAAGGGGGTACAGACTCATGTGCGATGTCCTTAGCCATCTTGAGGGGTTGTTACTGTACTGGGAATCAACGGTTCCCAGAGAAACTTGTTGTAAGGGCCTCTGCGCACAACAACTCAGAAAAAAACACTGAGGATGGAGAAAACTGAGCTTTATTCTACACCAGTTTGCCAAGATCATTTTGCATGGATTGATTTTGACCACCTCACAGCGACGTCATTGCAATGATTGTTGATTGTTGATAAGAGGCAAATATCTTATATAAATATTCCAATGGTCCTATTTCAGAAGTGTTTTCCGCACCGTTAACGCACTTCATGACACAGCGCATCACAGCGCCGTTTTTTCTGGTTCCCCACCTGCCAGGTGAGGGTTGTTAGATTTTATCAGAGTTGTTCTCCTCCTCCTCGGCTAGCTGTCCTCCTCCTCCTCCTCCTCGTCCTCCTCCTCCTCTAGTTTCTCCTCGACCATGTCTGCATCAACTTCCACCTCCACTTCCGCCTTGCCAACTCTTCGCCAAGCTCTGTGCCAACTCTCTTCGCCAAGCTCTTTGCCAACTTCCCAGCTCAGTGTGCACTGGGACCTCAACCTGGGACCTGCCCAGCTCAGTGTGCACCGCTGGACCTCAAACCTGGCAAGGTCCCAACCGTCTCAGCTCAGTGTGCACCGCTGGACCTCAACCTGGGACCTGCCCAGCCCAGTGTGCACCGCTGGACCTCAACCTGGGATCTGCCCAGCTCAGTGTGCACCGAACCGGGGGGACCTTCCCAGCTCAGTGTGCACTGCTGGACCTCAACGGGCAGATAGAATGCCAGAAGATATGCCAGATAGAATGTCAGATGGAATGCCAGAAGATATGCCAGATAGAATGCCAGATGAATGCCAGAAGATATGCCCGATAGAATGCCAGAAGATATGCCAGAGAGAATGCCAGACAAAATGTCAGAAGATATGCCAGATAGAATGCCAGAAGATTTGCCAGATAGAATGCCAGATAGAATGTCAGAAGATATGCCAGAAGATATGCCAGAAGATATGCCAGATAGAGTGCCAGAAGATATGCCAGAACAGATTGCAGAAGATATGCCAGCTAGAATGCCAGAAGATATGCCAGAAGATAGAATGCCAGAAGATATGCCAGATAAAGTGCCAGAATGTTTGCCAGATAGAATGCCAGAAGATTTGCCAGATAGAATGTCAGATAGAATGTCAGAAGATATGCCAGAAGATATGCCAGATAGAATGCCAGAAGATGCCAGAAGATATGCCAGATCAGAAGATATGCCAGATAGAATGCCATGCCAGAGAATGCCAGAAGGTATGCCAGATAGAATGTCAGATAGAATGCCAGTAGGTATGCCAGATAAAGTGCCAGAATGTTTGCAGATAGAATGCCAGAAGATTTGCCAGATAGAATGTGTCAGATAGAATGTCATGCCAGAAGATATGCAGATAGAGTGCCAGAAGATATGCGAGAACAGATTGCAGAAGATATGCCAGCTAGAATGCCAGAAGATATGCCAGATAGAATGCCAGAAGATATGCCAGATAAAATGCCAGAATGTTTGCCAGATAGAATGCCAGAAGATTTGCCAGATAGAATGTCAGATAGAATGTCAGAAGATATGCCAGAAGATATGCCAGATAGAATGCCAGAAGATTTGCCAGATAGAATGCCAGAAGATATGCCAGATAGAATGCCAGATAGAATGCCAGAAGATATGCCAGAGAGAATGCCAGACAAAATGTCAGAAGATATGCCAGATAGAATGCCAGAAGATATGCCAGATAGAATGCCAGAAGATATGCCAGCTAGAATGCCAGAAGGTATGCCAGATAGAATGTCAGATAGAATGCCAGTAGGTATGCCAGATAAAGTGCCAGAATGTTTGCCAGATAGAATGCCAGAAGATTTGCCAGATAGAATGTCAGATAGAATGTCAGAAGATATGCCAGAAGATATGCCAGATAGAGTGCCAGAAGATATGCGAGAACAGATTGCAGAAGATATGCCAGCTAGAATGCCAGAAGATATGCCAGATAGAATGCCAGAAGATATGCCAGATAAAATGCCAGAAGGTATGTCAGATAGAATGCCAGAAGATTTGCCAGTAACAAAATGTATAAATTGTCATGGTGGGGATAACTCGAAGTAAAGTAATTTTTCTGTTGTGGGGTGGGGTGACGTAGGGCGTAGTATATAACATTCATCGGCCTTCCTCTTGCACTTGATGCTACGCTTCAGCTTGCTCTTGCATGTGGTGCCAGGCTTCAAGTTCCTCTTGCACTTGCTGCTACCCGTCAATTTCATCTTTTACATCTTTTACTTGATGCTACGCTTCAACTGGCGTTTGCACTTGCTTTGCATTGCTTTGCATTTAATGCCATGCCGCAACTTAGCTCTTGCATTCCATGCTACGCTCCAACTTTCTCTTTCACCTGATGCTTGCTCAAGCTTGTTCTTGCACCCGTTGCTTGCTTCAACTTGTTTTGGCACTTGATGCCACGCTTCAACTTTCTCGTGCAATTTCTCGCACTTGATGCGACGTTGGCAACGTGCAGGGTCTGATCTTGCCACATCTTGACACAGGAAAAGCAAGAGGTTGAGGACTGTTCGAAAGAACATCTGGGACTCAAGTCCTGGAAAAGTGGTAAGCCTTGGATTTTTGCCGGCCACCTTGAACAAGAAAGGTGGAGTGCAGAACCCCTTGATGGAAAAGTATGTGCGCCTTCCTCTGGAGATATCACATGCCAAAGCAAGCAAAATTGCTGGAAGAAGTGGGAAAAATCTCCTGATGCATGCGTGGAGCAGCAAAAACGGATGCGAGGCGGCACCGCTTGGCTAAGGCAGCGAAAGCTTTTTGGTTGTGAAACACATGAAACACCTAGAACCACAGAATGAAACACGGTGAATTTTCCCAATACGTGAGCTTTTTTGAAGATTGTGAATCATGATAGTTATTTCATAATATTTCATATGTATCTCTGGCAGTCTGGTTGGTGGTTTGGAACATTTTTTATTTTTCCATATATTGGGAATAATGATCCCAATTGACTAATATTTTTCAGAGGGGTGGCTCAACCACCAACCAGTGTTGCGCATGCTCTCAGGATCTTTTTGGGCTCTTCAAAATGTTGGACGACGGAGATGGCGAAATCTCCGTGGAGACTTTGGTGGCGAAAAGGTCTGATTGACCTGATTGCATCCGACGGTTTCGAAGAACTTTGATCTTCCACCTTGTTGGGATGATGATCATAATCCTTTATAAATGGAGGTTTTGATGGGAAAATCATAATCCCCTGAAAATTGGATCTATACCCTCTGTTAAACATACAAAAAGCTATTGAAAATGGCCCAGTCGAAATAGTGGATTTACCCAGCTATAAAATGGTGATTTTCCATAGTTATGTAAACGTTTACCAGGGGGTAACTTTATTCACACTTTATTCGTTTCAAACGGATTGGATCCACCGACCAGTTTTGCGTTCAAATGGTTGCGATATGTTGTGGTTCAGTACTATGTGCCCCCCAAACTGGATGTCAATATGATGCTGCATATTCAAAATAACCACCACTGGTTGATCCATTTATTTCCATTTTCTGGACTTGCGCCAAAACAAAGAAAATGCACACCCAAACAAAACATTAAACAAATCCACATGTTGACAAATCACTGTTGGATCATGCGCTCTTGTCTATCCTGATTGCAAGGAAGAGTTCGAGGCAGGCGTGACTTGATCGCATTCATGCGCAACTTCAATGCAGAGTGGTTGCTATAGGCAGACATGTTGTTGATGATTGTTGTGTCTCTTATTGTCAGATGTTATTACCATTGCCGTTGTTCTTGTTATTCGTTGTTTTTCTTGTTTTTGTCGTCGTTGGAAATGCCTTCGCGTGACACAAAACTACCCAGGAGACCAAGAAATTCCCTGGGGAAGAACCTTGAGGGGACACAATCCAGTGGTTTTCCATTTTTCAATGGATCTTTCAGACGTGCCTGAACATCCCTCCTTGGCTTTGCTGAGATAAAGAGGATGAAAGGCACGGCAAAAAGTTTGGATCTGCACATGTTAGCCCACACCGTCACTTGGATGAAGGATGGATGCGGACCCATATGTTTTCTTCTATGGAAATATGAGGCGGTTTGTTACTGAGACGAATATCCCAGTTGAGAAGTGGATCTACCTATCGCCAGCAATGCTGCCAGAACATGATGCGGTCTTAGCTTAGGCAAGCAAACCCACGACAAACACATTATTACATGACTGGTGTGTGTGTGTGGTTTCATGCTCATTACAATACCCATCTATGTATGGTATATTTACCTACATTTGGGTGATTTTTTGGGCAAATGTTGGTAAATATTCCACACATGGAGCATATGGGATAATGAGAGTCATAAAATTCCCAAAGCCAAAACTTCACATTTGCCAGCTTGGATAGTCACCCGTGATTACGCACGGAACGCCCTTCTCCAATCAAAAACAATGGAGTATGATGAAATCCTCGTAAAATCAGACATTTCTATTAGATAAGCAAAATAATACGTTTGATGGAACGTAGATTAGAATTGGATAATTGGGTTATTCATATCCTCCAGCTTATATACCAATGGAATTGGATTTGTTTCATAATGGAGATCATTAGTACAGAAATGTACCGAAAAGATCCTCCAATTTCTACAATATATGGGTAGATGCCGGTAAATTCTGACCTTCGCTAAGATCCATGTTGCTTGGATGGTCGAAAGCCACATGAAGTTGGGGTTGTGGGGAAATTGTAGCATGTTATAACCCATTCTCTTTGGCAGTTTTAGGATATCGACATAAGAAATGGAAAACTTTGCGCGCTACTTCCTCGCCATAACTTGAGCATCCCAATCATGACATCCAAAGGCGGCCCACGACTGGAAACTTGGGATTTCATTCCTGTGACACTGTGCCCAAAACAACTGAGCGAAAGCCGCTGAATTTTGAGCCCAAATTTCCTTGAAAATCCTGACAAAACCTGACAAAACTTGATTGGAATTCCACGGTTGTTTCCCTAATGATTTACAGTTCTGGTGTATTTTTGCATAACGTCAGTTCACCGGAAGGTATGTGAATTTGTATCAGTCAGCATCCGAAAATGTGGGTACACCCGTAATTGATGAACAAAAATGATGCTTTGAAACATTTGCCTTTCCGGGGTGTATGCCCTTTCCAGACCACATTTGTTAACAAGTCAAAGTGCATGTTTTTTTTATACTTTTAGTTCATGCAGAGTTCAGATTTAACCTTATTGGTTGACATGTCCCCAGAGTTATAGGGATGCATGTTTTTTGGACCTGGGCGCCCTTTTTTTGGACCTGTACATGTTTTTTGGACCTAACCAGATTTTTTTTGGGACCTAAGGTCACAAAAAATGTGGGGGACTTGCTTGTGTGTTTTCTGGACCCTGTTGGCATATTTTTTTTGGACCTGCAGGTATTTGTGCTGGACCCAGGGAATTTTTTTTCGACAGCCAAATTAATTGTTTCTGAGCTCGGTTTCTGTTTTTTGGACCCGTGCACCTGCTTCGTGGACCTTGCCTCCATAGGGTGGGGGGGAGCTCCATTGTTGTTGGCGCTGGGCTGGATGTTTTGGACCTTGGCGCCTTCTTTTTTGGAACCCGTTTATTTTTTGGACCTAGCACAGGGTGGGGGTAATTTAGATACTGAGACAAGAAGTTGCTCATGCCGGGGAAGTTCCGGTATTGAAACAATGAAAACGTAAGAAGTGGTGGAGGGGCCAATGGGGGAAGTCTACGTATGAAGCAGATAGGGGAAAGGGAAATTTCGATACTGAAACAGGGTGAGCGCAAATAGTTGTTGAGAGATGAGGGGTGAAGCCTAGACATTGAAACGAAATAAAGAGACATGAAGATACATGCAAAAGATTGCTGAGAGACGCACGGGGAATTTTGTGACCCGAAAATGAATGCCGGAAGAGGGCGGGGGGAATTTAGATATTGAGACCAGATGCATGCAAGAAGGTGAAACGGGGGAACATGTAGAGATTGAAGCCAGGTGCCCGCAGAAAATTGGTGAGAAAGGGGCAGGTGGGAGAGGGGAAAGTTAGACATCGAAACGGATGAACGCAAGAAGTTGCTGAGACGAGAAGCGGAAGTCTAGATATTGAACCCAAATGACGGTGCATGCAAGAAGCTGTGGAGAGACGAGGGGAAGCTGAGATATTGAAACCGCATGAATGCGGGAAGCTGTGGAGAGGCGCAGGTGGGGGGGACTTTAGGAGGCCACGGTGGAGCCCGATATAAAACCAAATGAATGCAGGAAGTTGCTCAGGGGCACCGGGAATATTGAAGCAAGATGAATGCAGGAAGTTGTTGTGGGGCACCGGGGAGGAAGCTTACATATTAAAACAAAATGGACGCAAGAAGTTATGGGGAGGCTGCGGGGGAAGTATAGATATTGAAACCCAATGAATGCAGGAAGTTTAGGAAGTTTGATGAGAGGCACAGGGGGGAAGTTAGATATTGAAACCAGATGAGTGCAAGAGGTTGTTGAGAGACAAGGGGGGGAAGCTTAGACATTGAAACCAAGTTGAGATGCATGCAAAAAGTTGTTAAGAGGCCAGAGGTGAAGTCTTGAGACCAAGCGAATGAATGCAGGAAATTGGTGAGAGGCACAAGGGGGGGGGAAGTTTAGATATTGAAGCCAGGTGAATGCTCCCAAGTGGGGCACAAAGGTGTGAAGAGTAGAAATTGAGAAGAAGAGGGCAGAATGGGAAGGAGGTGGGAAACCCAATGTGTCACAAGGAGATGGGCGCTGCACCCCCTGGAGAGTATAGATATTGAAGCCCAATGAATGCAGGAAGTTAAAGAAGTTTGATGAGAGGCACAGGGGGGGAAGTTAGATATTGAAACCAGATGAGCGCAAGAAGTTGTTGACAGATAGGAGAAGCCGAGGTATTGAAACCAGATGCATGCAGGAAGTTGCTGAGCGGCACAGGGGCGCAGGAGAAATTCGTATATTGAAACAGCATAAAGGCAAGAAGTTGTGGAGAGGCCAGCGGGGGGAAACCTACATATGAAACCAAATGGATGCAGGAAGTTGAAAGGCACATTGGGGGAAGAGGAAGTTAGATATTAGAACAAGATGAGCGCAATAAGTTGCTGAGAGTTGACGGGTGAAGCCTAGTCATTGAACCCACATCGGCTGCAGGCAACGAAGACCGTCATGGACAGATGTGTAAACGTACCGGCGAGGGATGCTCCTGGGCGCAATGGTCGCAACTGAGGGTGGCACATGAGTCGACATCGAAATCAATGTAACCTCGTTGGTTAGTATCCGGGCATAGGACGTATGGACTCCTGGACATGTAGACGCGGCTGGAATGCAAGAAGATGAATGCAAGAACTGTGTCTGAAGAATTGCGATCAAGACGCGGCTGGACAGAAACTGGAGAATCTATCCAAAGGGGGTATGGTTTGGGAGCAGACCGTGTACAGGAAAGGCTTCCTCCCATGTTGCATGCTAGCTGCTATCGCGGTCCGCGGTCAAGGCTCCCAGACTGGCTATACCCCTCGCAAGCAGCAACGAACTCACCAATGACCCATCCTAGAGATTGCGAAGCAGACGCTGCTAGCGCGGCTCTAGCCCCCTACTGTCCAGGCACGGCAGCCAGGGTAACTGTCATTCCTGTCACACAGGTTGGAGATCAAGGCTCCCAGACTGGCTATACCCCTCGCAAGCAGCAACGAACGGTTCAAGCTGTGAGGACAGCACTACATGGCACTTCCTGCCCAGTTGCATGCTAGTGCAGCTCTAGCGCCCTACTGTCTGAAAATTGCGATGCAGACGCGGCTGGGCAGAAACTGGAGAATCTATCCAAAAGGGGTATGGTTTGGGAAAGGGCCAGGTCGAGCAGGAGGGAAGGATGAGGTCCAGCAGGAGGGTTCGCAGGTCCAAAAGAAGGGTAGCCATCTCCAAAAGAATTGTAGTAAGGTCCAGTAAAAGTGTCCAGGCCCAAAAGAAATGTAATGAGGTCCAAAAAAAGTGTTTTCCAGAGTTATATAAGTCTCTGGCACCCACTTTTCCGATCTTTTCCGCGCAGCTTGTTGAGCGATCATAAGTCCCTGATGAGTCAGTTATTCCACCTACAACTGGGCAAACTAAACCCACAAACACCTTTAGTGGTTGTAGCGTCTTGTAACTTCATGATATAATCTCGGATTTGCTGATGATATGGCGAAAATTTCGTGGCAATCAACTTGGGGCATCTATTCGTGGAAAGTCTTGGAGGTTTTGTGAAGTCATTTGTGGGATCATAGGATTTTCCATGATTTTCCTCTGAGGTCATGAAGATCAACGCCAAAGTGGATACTTTGCTGGGCTCGAGCGGAGGTGCTTTGCGGAAAAGCTTCCCGGCGCTGCTGATGGGACTAGCGCTTGGGAAATCTCCGAAGTAAATCTGTAACATGGAAAAATCATGGGAAAGTATTGGAAAATGATGGAGCTGCAGGGACATCGCCCAACTAAAGATTGATCATCATGGCAAATGGAAACTCAAATGATTTTAGTTTTAGACGTAAGATTTGCCAGGTTCCATTGCCATGTTTGATTACCGGAAGGTAAGCCTACTATGGGGATAGAACTGGTGTAACCGGGTTCATTTGTTAGCTCAACCCAGTAGTACTATGAATGTGGGGGATGTTTACCAACAATCAACTGGGTGTACATCGTCAATCTGCGACATTTCAGCAGAGATCATGCTGCAAATCAGGATTTAAACTTGTGCATTACCCCACGATAGATATGTGATACATTGGTCAAGATGCCAAGAATCAACGGGAATACAACCAGTTCGCTTGGGAATGTACAGCTGGCCGTTTGGGGACGGTTCGCCAAGGCATGGTATCATGGTATCCATTGATTTTCACATCATGTCCATTTCATTAGCAAAATACCATGGAAATGAGAACGTGAATCTAATGTATTCCATGTTATTTTTCTAAAAAAAGACGCCTCAGAGAATGGATACCAAAATATCATTCCATGTAAATGTTAATTGTCGATTTTGAGCCTTTTGGTATCCCATTCGAATGTCACCTGATCCCCGAGGCCAATATTTCAACTTGCTGCACTATATAGATAAGATATGTCGAGAAGCTTGGAAATAATAGATTGTATTGTAGGCGCAAAACAGCCATTTTTTGTGGCCCAAGCACCATTTCCTCATTTTCAGGGTGGGAAGATCATGAATTTATGGTCAAGAGATTTCACGGAGAAACCAAAAATTAGTGAATGTTCATCCCGTCCAGGGAAAAAAGAGGCAATCTTCATAATCATCCCTTCCCAATCTTAAACATCCAGGAGTCAGGACAGGATGGTTAGGGGATTTAAGCAGATTTACCATACAATAGGGATCAATAAATAGGACTGTTTCGCCTATGGTGATGGGATTTTCGCCTTTTCGCCAGGGGCGCGCTCCAAGGTTTCGGCACGAGAAGCTTGAGCAATTTGGGCAAACCAAAGTGGCTGGACGGACTCGCTGTGTTGTCTCAGTTTTCTTCCGATCCCCGCCCCTCACACTATATTCTGACATAATTTTCTGACATGCCATCTGGAAGTATTTATGGCATTTAATTGTATGAATACATATATACATAATTATACATACATTCTGACATTCTATCTGACATTCTTTCTGGCATATACTCTGACATTCTATCCGACATTTCCTGGTATCTATTCTGACATTCTTCCTGGCATCTATTCTGACATTCTATTTGGCATCTATCTGACATTCTATCTGGCATCTTTTCAGGCATTCATTCTGGCATTGTATCTGGCATCTATTTTGACATTCTCTCTGACATGGGCACGCGGTTGATGTCCGGCAGTGCAAACTGACATTTGGAGCTCGCGGCTGGGGAGCTGGAGAAGAAGGAGGAGGGGGAAGGAGGAGGATAAGAAGGAGAAAACAATTCTGATAATTAAAATCTAAAGACCCTTACCTGGCAGGTGGGGAAAAACACCCAACAGCAGTGACTGTTGGGTTTCAATCTCTTGGTAGTGGTCTCGTTGTCTTTTGCCAAACCCAAAAGCCGGAAGAGAACCGCAATGCTGGAATCCTGGAACCTTGGAAGCTGATAAAGATGTCGAGAAATAGTGATTTACCCTCTGGTTATTTAACATAGCTATGGAAAATGGGTAATTTATAGAGGATTTATGATGATTTACCTATCCAAAATGGTGATTTTCCATAGCTACGTTAAATAACCAAATGGTAAGATGATTTACACACCAAAAAAGAAGGGCAAGAAGGATTTTGTCCACTTCTGGGAAGATTACGAGGGTTTGACCATCAACTGTATGAGAACCAATGATCTTGGATAAATTATAACGACCTCATTCCAACGTCGCTGTAACCAATGATTGGGAGTAAGGGGAACATCCATAAATGGCAACAATGGTAGTAGAGTGCTACTAGTAGTAGTGACAGCCTTGTTATTACGGTGTCGTTTTATTGTTGTGATTGTTGTTGGTTTAAACTGCTGCCTTAACACTTTACATGATTCATCTCCAATTTCATCGCCAACCACCAGCCAGCCTTTTAGATGGGAAGATGCGACATTTGTGGGCGCCACAGATTTTGGGACAAACTCAATTGGTGCATGATGCTGGTAGCTGTTTGTTCCTAGCCCCGTTTCAAAGCTGCCGGAAATGGGATCTTTGGATGCAGGGGATTCAGACAGAATTGGGACCATGCCATGGGGTTTTTGATCTGATGGTATTATTTGGACGGTTCCTATCCCATGCAAGTGGATCATGACCCCCCAGTTGGCTCTTATCTGTATTTCAGATCACCACTTCACCCAATAGTAGCATGTTTCTAAAACTTTTTGGAGGGTCATATGAGCCCTCCCCCCAACAAAAATCATGTGTAAGTCATGATCAGTGGTTGGATGACCAAAGACTGATCAACGACATCAGCATGGCCTTGGCGGAACTCAATGGCCATGCCATGGTCAATCGACATGTCAATGGCCATCGTGTTTTTCCACGACTTGCTGAAGTGTTGCATCATGTTTGGTGAATCCTTTCTTAGTTCTCCATTGGAAGTGGATTTCTCCCATGTCTCGTATGTTCACTACAGCAATTGATGTGTTTTCTACGGCACATGTTGCCACTTACCAGCTGGGCCAGAGCTGAGTCCCAGTGACCTCAGGCTGAAGTCCAAGAAGTTGTGAGGGCCCAAAGCGGCGCCCAAAACTTTGGGCCTTTGTCTTCCTGATAGTTATATAGATAATAGCACAGAACCCAAGGAACGCTGCGAAGTAAAGGTCACACCAGGGACCCTAGGGACCCTGCCCAGCCTTTCCCGGAATTCCTGTTGATTTCGGGGATTCAACAGGATTCAAAAACAGAGAAATTTAGCTCCAGTTATGGTACCAAGTCATGCGATTAAGATGCGGTTTTCTGGGAAAATGGAGTAACATCCACACATCGACCCCCAAAGTGGTAGCAAGAAGGAACGACCGCACGGCCAATTTGGGTTTTGGATGTTTTGGGGTCCCAGATCATTAGAGCAACGCCTCAAAGATGGCAAGATCACGCTCTGATGGTCGATGTCCCAGTTCCAATTTGTAGCCCTAACATCTTCGCAAGTTAATGTTTGGAGGGTGAAGTGATTGACATTGGGCTGATCACATTTAAACGTTAAGCCAAGAAGGGGATTGTTCTTCGTTTCTGGTTTTGGAGCTGACCGGGACCATTTCAACGCAGAATCGCATTTGCGACCAGTTTCACCCGGAGAGTTTGTGAGCAACGCAACTTGGCAACGGTGGTTGGATTGAAGCAGCCACAATATTGCTCGGAGTCATGGATCAGTCATAAACTGACCAAATTGAACCAAAACAATCGGTTCTGTTCGAAAGAGGATTTCGGACAGCAGAATCAGATGTTTGCTACTGACATCTTCCCATAACTGGATTAAGATTTTGGGGCGCCATGTGTTGCTTGGAGTCTTTGGTCCACCAGCAGCTTGCCACAGCTTGCAGTCGCTGTCCAACAGTGGTGTCCGTCGGTGGCCAGAGACATCAGGAGAGATCTGGTATTTTGATGTATTTTGTGGGCGTTCATGCTGTGGCTTTAGAATCGTTTTAGAATTATTGGGACATTAGACTTACCTGGTTTGAATTGGATTTATATATCGTGATTTTCTGGTATCGTTCATTTCTCAACAGATGTTTTTCTGCAAGATTCATTATTCATTCAATTTGGAACCATTTTTCCCCCGAGAGAGATTATACATATTATACTATATAATATACGTGCATTCTCTGGGACTGTGGAAGACGTGTTTTCCTGGTCTTCTTGTTTGTAGCCGTAGCTGGAGCCAACTCTCATGGTAATGTGTGGTAAACCTGCCATAAACCATCCTCAAGTCATCACATGGGTCGTATACACCATCCCATGGTGATTAAATTCAGTTTCCCACATTGGCACATTGGCTGGTAAAGGGATGCCTGAATTCGTTCACCGGACGCTGCGACGTGACGTGCCACTTTGCCACTTTCCCGACATGAGATGCCAATGAAAGTCAAAGTTGTCTTTGGAAGATTATACACTTTGGAGATGATGGGTAACTTTCTGGACAACTATCCTCTACTAGTGGTATTTATACCAATGGTATCCAATGGTTGTTATTAACCAGTATGAACCTATTTCCATAGTCTTCGGGGGTCCATCGCCATGGTGGGGAGTTTCCCGCCTTGCCACTGGGGGCGTCGGTGATGCGATGTGACCCAGTTTTCGGACACTGCCTGGGGATTCGTTTGGTTTACACCTTGGCTGTTTGTGTTGTTCTTTTCTGATTTTATTGCTAAAGAATTTCAGAATCAGATTGAATCTCAATTTCAAGTGTTGGTTCTTGTTGATCCATCAACAGGAACTATATAGGTACCACTAAGATCCACTAAGGATGTATATACTTTTTGTATGTACCATCAGCTTGTTGTTACTTGTTACATATTATCACATTGCACCGTGGCGTCCTTGGCCTCGTATCCTCATGAATCCCTCGTGACGAAGAACTTCAAACTGCCGCTGAGCGGCTGAAAAAAGAAGGAATCGGCACTTAGATTTGTGACGTTAGCGTCGTTGAAAAAGAAGCCTGGGAAATGTTGGGTGTCTCACTCAGTCGCGGAAATCTGGACATGGATTCACCTGACTGGCGGCGATCTGGTTCCATGGTGTATTGAATTATTGAGACGCCCACTGAGTAAGTTGTAGCAGCCATGGACTGTTTGTATCTTTTGGCCGCAGTTGAGTCCATCTCCCCATGTTTTGAGATAATGGTGCAGCTTGAAGTGCAACGTTGGGAGATTAATCTCCAATACTAAATACAAACCACAAGGCTAAAAAGGACGAGCAATGCAGGACTTAAGCCGGTTTTTGTTTGGTAGTTACTCACTGTTACTCTTGGGAGGCAGGCTTCCCACCGCCAAAGAGGCGTCACCTTGATCCCCCCCGTACGTGCCACACGCTGCACCTAGGCTGAGCCTCTTCTCCTGGCCATTATGAGCCGGGAGGTGCTGTGGCTGGACCCCATGGAACATGATTGGCAACTATGGGACCCGAACGGCCGAACGGAACGTTTGCAAGATTTGTTCATAACCTTGTCCAGATCCATTGGAGGGGTGAAACATGGTGAAACCCTGGTTTGAACAGTTTTCAGTGCCAGGGATTCAGTGAACCATTGGCCAATCGAAACCAGATCGCTGCAGATCTATGCAGATTTGCACCGTAGAATGATTGGACCGGAGTTTCTGGCGGATATTCATTATTAGGAACAAGGGAATACTGTTAAATACCGCTCTGGAAATTCTGGTTAGTATCTTAAGTATCTTCATTCCCGGGGCCCATACTTCGATTGAAGTTAGCTCACTGCTTGCATTGGAGTTGAGCCAGTTACATATAGTTACCAAGGTATATATAACACACAATAAAATGAACTCCACAGCCCATCGAACTCGGAAGTTCATATTGGCGAAATAATTCAACAAGGGTTTGTCTCTCAAGGGTTTGTCACGTGCAGGCACAAAGCTTTGGCGCTTCCAGTCAGGTGCTGTTTGTGAGCCGTGATGGTGGGAGCCGGGTTGGGTTACACAAGAGGCTTGACGGCTTGACGTTGGAAACAATATGTTTTTCCCCACATCTTTGTGTGGGGTTCTTGTTTTTGATTCTGCATCCCGTCCGTCTTCCCGTCATCCTCCTCCTCCTCCTCCTCCTCCCGTCGTCCCTGTCACACACAACTTGCTCACACACAACAACTTGCTCACACACAACTTGTCATCCAGCTAAAACTGCGGGCGCGTAAGCAGCGCGTGAGCTGTCGCGTAAGAACAAGACCTTTGGAGACAGCTCAATTACTGGTTGGTGGTTTGGAACATTTTTTTCATATATTGGGAATAATCATCCCAACTAGTATTTTTCAGAGGGATAGGTATACCACCAACCAGTATTGGCAACAAATCCATGACATTCGTTTAACATGTTTAACCATTCACCCCTTGAAAAAAACCATCACCATGACGTCATGTAGCGGTGCTGCCGGTGCTGCCCAGACAGCCAAAAAGCACTTCCAGCCCACGAAGTTCCTGCAGGATCCGGTCCGGACCCAAGGTGACCCAAGCGTGGCCCGTTGGAAGAAACGTGGCCCGTTGGGTTGAGCGGACAAAGCAACGCTTGCCCCGACCGTTTTGTATTTAGCCATGTGGATATTCACAATTGCACAAATAGTTAAAAATGTAATATATCACATGTATATAAATATATATATACATATATATATATATATATATATATGCATTTTTGCATTTGTACATACATATTATATGTTGGTGGTTTCAAATACGCACATTTTTTGGTAAAATAAATGTTGTGTAGATGTCATGTGTCCAGCTATAATTTTCTCAGCACCGGCAAAAGATATGAATATCAATCAAGTCTCTTTGTACATACATATCCGGCAACCAGAAATAAGCATCTCATATTGTTTACAGGACCTTGCCAATTCGAACAGAAGTGCGTGTTACAGAGATTCATCCTGTGGAGGTTTTTGATAGGCTTCAGCGAATTCTCATAGAGGTATTCTTTGTTGTTCTCTGGCAGATATCGAAGAACACTGTTTTTCAGGGATAAACCCCTAGGCAAATTGTAACATCGCCAGGAACCTGGCGAAAAAACCCTGCCCATTTTCTGCTGATTGAAAGAGGGACTGGCTTTTTGGTCAAATTCAATGGCGCCTTGGGAGGGGAATTGCACCAGCCTTAGCTCATGAGAGTCATCTTGGGAACTCTGACATTGAGAAGTGGAGTGCCAGCGGAAACAAATCCATAGCAACCCCCGGCATGCTATTATCAAGTATTTCGATTTGTTTTGCTCCCGTTTGCCACACATATGTTGATAGCTACACATAAAGTGATGTTAGCTAATAATAAACAAACCAGGCAGCCACCCATCCCAATGTATCCAAGTAGTGTTGAAGACACGAAGACACGAAGAACATCGTTCACATGATTTTGCCCTATTTTAGTAGATCATATTCATGGCACCTTTCCACATCTCATGATACCATGGCAGCATTTTTCTTAAAAAAAAACACAACGGTCCGCCGGGTCCACCGGGTCCACCGGCTGCGCATGGCGAGTGCTGTCAACGAGAGCGCGGAAGTCAACGTGAGCGTTCTGAATTTGGCAGGCCTACATCGAAGATCATCGAAGCGATGAACCTGGTGAGCCATAAACCTACCATGGGGATTTTTTTTTGTGCACATTTATGGCTAATAAATACTATATAAATACTATATAATTAATATAGGAATTGGTTCGAATTGGTGAAAAACCCACATTACGAGAAAGCAGACAAAGAATCACAAAAGCATTGAAGAAGTACAACTTTCTTGCTCAATGTTTTCCGTGGCAGTCAACAAATCTGTTTCAGGAACATCTCTGGGACAGAGATATTTTGGCTCAGCTCGGGGTCGCAGTTTGAAGGACAGCTATGGCAACATGTGGCAACAGCATTTAGTGGAACTTACCCCGATCCCAGAAATTTACAGTGCAGTGATTTGACATATCAGACATAGCAGGAAGAGCAAGAGACCACGTTGAATTTTAGCTGAGTAGATTCCACAGCTCCCCAGCGTCGATTTGGGCATATTTGGACTGGTTGAAGACAATGAAGCAGAAGTGACTTTTTTTCGTGTGTCGGTGGGGTGCTTCAAACCAGCGACCTATGGTGCATTCACGGCTGAAACCACACACAGACAGACCGTGACCGTGACGCAGGTCATTTCATGACAATTTTTGTTTTGTCCGAAGAATCCACGTTTTTAAGGCCATCAACACAAGTGTCATGAGTGTCCTCAATCCCATATGCTCCATGGTGCTGGAATATTTACCAACATTTGCCCCATAAATGACCCAGTTTTGTAGATAAATACACCATACATGGAGCATGTGGGCATGGAAACCAGCCGCAGATCTTAACCATCAACGAATCAGTGCCAACGTCACCGACAGCGTCGGGCTGCGCCAGTTTTGTGACGCCATGGCGTTGCGCGCGAAGTCCGCGACGCGCCTCGGACTGTCCGATGGGCCGAGGGAATTTCAGGACGCCAGCTGCGCAGTGTGCGGTGGGGAGTCGGCCCAGGGGAAAATTTGGGGAAGATGACCAAACAAAGATGTGGGGATTCAGCCGCAGTTGAATGCGGAACATGGTCAATACACACCACTTTGAAACGGAATGTCATCTTCAATGGGGGTCAGTCATTATTGTTTCGTGGCTGGCATAAAATTAGTTTGCTGGGCATCTTTTTATAGACTGACCGTCTGGCTTCTTGGACATGATTCAAAAAGCAGGGCAAATACCCAACAACTGAAGCACCAGGTAGAAATGAAACATGACGCGACACCAGGGCGAACCTCGACCCTTGACAAGGTAAGAGTGAAAGAAGCAGCAAACACCATGACTGTGTAAAGGGGATCATCCCAGTTTCAAGCAGCACACTTCGAACGAGCTCAAAAACGACATGAGAGAAAGAAAACCTATGATACTTGACCCACTCCATGAATTTCAGAGATTATTCACCAAGTCTTCAAGTTTCCCAAGTTTGCCATTACTTTTCATGGATTTCCCATTGCTTTCCATTGCTTGAGCCGTGCGCCAGGACGACGAGGACGCCCTGCCGCGCGGCTGCCGGCGCTGGTGGCCCGACCTAACGCTGGCGCCGGTGCCGGCGAAACTGCGGAGGGAGGTCCGGGAGGCGATTCCCAGGCAGCCGCCCAGGTCAGGCCCGAGCTCCCCGAGCTCGGAGGGATTGCAGCAGATGCAGCAGAGATACCGTTTGAGTTCAACTAGAACTGGGAGATAATGATGAGAATTGGGATAGATTAGATTAGATTTTGGGTTTGATTTGATCTGATAGCTTGGATAACGGCATCAAGTGAATATGGATGAATATGGGATTGACCAACTAGGATGGTGCGAAGAGTGAATGCAGGGATTGAATCAGCAAAAATTGGTGGTGTTCAACCACTTTCTTGGGATATAGTGGTAGGGAGATATTTAACCAACTATAATGATACTACAATGGGGATATGATGAGGATATGATCTAACGGGGGCCTTGTGGGGATTTGAAGTGGGGATATATAATGGAGAGGTGGGGATTTCCATTATAATAGGGGTACCCCAACATAGATGGTTTATTTCATGGAAAATCCTAAAATAACATGGGTGATTTAGGGGTTGGAATATGGGGATCAAGCAACTGCCATGGGAATAAAGTTACCCGGCCTGGTAAACGTTAACAAAAAACTACGGAAAATCACCATTTTATTGTAAAACTCACTATAAATGGCCATTTTCAATAGCTGAATAGCTATGTTAAATTACCAGAGGGTATAGGGGAATATCTTGCAAGGACTAGGATGGTTTCGCTGAATGGAGGGATCTAACCAGCAAACACATCGGATTTAGCCTGTAAAATTGGTGGTGAATAGAATGGGGGTCTATTAATTGGCAATAAGGGAATATGGGATTGATCTTCGCATATTTGTTTACACATGTCGATGTTGATGATGTAGATGCAGGTATGCATTGCATGCTTCTGTGCAGACACGCATTCACACACGCACTTGTATACCTGGGAACAAAATCATCAACATGGCTATCCACCACCAGTTAGTGAAATTAATCATTAGTTACTGGAATTCATCACCACCTGATATGTAGATACTGGTAAATTATTCATGATGATTCAGTGGAGATGAGTGGTAGCTTGGACAGATTCAGTGGTGTTTCTGACGGCTGATCCAGTGAATCTGTCGATGATTTGGATCGGATGATCCTGGAATGATTTGCTGACCTGTTTAATGCGAATTAAAGATGGAAATGGATGGGATGTTTTATGGGATTTAATGGTCTATCCATATGATTAATGGGGCAAATTCGGATTTTCCGAAGAACATGTCATAACATCAAAAATTTATGAACTTATAATGAGGACTAGAGGGCGTGTAACTTGAATAGAGAAACTGCTGGTCTACACGGTTGGTAGTGTAAGATCATTCTTCAGCGATTCAGGTTGCCATTCATCCACGCACTAGAAATTCACCCCCCAATGGCCCCTTTAGCAACCTTGAAATTGCATGAAATTTCCCCGTGTGGCTCCTTGAAAGCCAATCAAGATCAATCATATGTTCTTGCGCATGTCGAATCTCGAAGAGAATAGTCAAAAATGGTCAAAAACTATTCCGTAATATATGTTATAAAGTAGGAGTATCACACATATTATCATCATATCATCATCACATCATTCAAATTCTGCTGGTGACCTCCGGCTCCAGGAGGAACTTTGCCATGTGGCAGATGAATTTCCCCGCAGAGCTGCCGAATGGCAAGAGGAATCCTGTGTCTCCCGGTGTCAGATGTCATGGCTTAGATCCCGGTCCTTGAAAAATCATCGAAACATGGAAGTTTTAACAAAAAATTGTGTGTCTTAAACTGGGATGATATATCACCACATGGATGTGTCACATATGTTTTATGTATGTTTATGAGATGTTAATATGATGAGCATCCAATGGCTGTAGGGGCTACATGATACTTAAACAAAGCCAACTGGTGGCTCAATACTGCTCAAGCCCTCCAAAAGGTCTGTGTAGACTAAGTCTACGTGGCACGGTTTTGGCCGGGTTGCAATCCTAATCTCTTGGAGTTTTTTAGGATAGACCCATCAAAGCGTTTTTGGGGGTAAATCTAATAGAACCCCCACGTTTTCAGTGTTTTTATTTTAAAGATTCCCAAGTATAGCTTAAAAGATGTGTACCAAGCGTCTTTCGGGGTGTTTTTGATGAATTTATCATATGTCAACCCCCCCACCAGACGTCATCAGACGTCAGCGATCTGAGCGTTCCGAGGTGCGCGTTGGGCGAGTGCGGCGATCCCAGCTGCCCCACCTATCGGCCCAAGCGTCCCGAAGTGCGCATGGCGGTGGAGAAGTGCATCCTGGAGACGCTCGCGACCGGTTGGTTTCTGTCCAGTCATGGGGCATGGGGCACCCCAAATCATCCAAGGAAAATGGATAAGCCATGGATTTTTGTATATGTTTGTATATTTTTGTGTATTGAAAATATTGAAAGCCATGGTGACTTGGGGATCAACCATTTTGAGAAGCCCCTAGTTGGGGAATGGATTTTGTCCCAGTTGTTTTTAAAAGAATGTTTGGATATCGATCTTAACCATGGGAAAAAAAATCCACTGGGGATATTACTGCGAAATTTATGGAATATGAATGGGAAATGTATAACTACTAGTATGGCATAAATATGGTACAAGTAGGGTATAAAAGGTGCGGGAGGGAAAAACACAAAACATGGTATGTGTATATCTGTAACCAACAAATTTATATTTGGGTGTGTCGCAAAACGAGAATGTCAAGCCGGCCAAGTACTACCTCCTCGGGGTGCCGGTGGACAAATAGGGGGTCTAGGGGGCCTTGTCCGCCAGGGTGGAACTGACGAGTACGGAGAAACCTGTGCCGGTGGACATTCTGAGAAAAGCTTTTTTGCTGCATAGAAAAGCTTTCAGGACATTTTAAGAACATGCAGCAGTTTGTGTTCGTGGCAAGTTTACTTTGCATGCGCTCCTGATTACGTTGTGCCTTTGCCAATGCAGTGCCAGTAACTCCTCACATCTTGTGCAGCCCTTGGGTTGTGCCCAGACAGATGTCGCGAGTGTCTGGCCCTTAATTGAATGGACTGATGAGGTTCCAAATGTAATTTGCAACAGTTGCGCCAGTTGCAACCCGGTTGCAGCAATGACAAGCTGTGGTTGTGGTGAGACTGAAATAGGTAAGGCACCAGTGTATCACTGATTGAAACACTCGCGAGTTGAAATCGCAAACGAAACTCATGCAGCCGAATGCAGTGTTGACAGCAGAGCAAAATGGAAAGCTGATTTTTGGAATTTTGTCCGAAACTTTTCTCCAGTCACCCTCATGGGGCTGATGCATTCCAGTTTTTGCACTGATTCCAGCACAAAACAAAAAAGAACAGAAAGAAGAAGCGCAAGCAGCCGCATTGCAAAAATCGACCACACAGAAGAAGCAGATACGTGGGAATCTGCCGTCGTGCTGCTGGTCGAAGATACCGAGTGAAATTCAAAACATACCGCTTTTACGGTCAAAGGAAAAGATGTCAAATGCTGAAAAGATTGCATACTTCACGTGCGACACAAGCCCAAAAGTTACCACACCTGGTGAAGCAAGCAAAGCCACTACCAATGGTCAGTCAACTGAGCACATGGCAATGGGTATGTGGACTGTTGGGATTTCGGGTCGGTGAAGCAAGCCACCGAGGACCGGCAAAAATCGGCACAAAACGAAAGGCTGAAAATGAACCACAGTCTCACGATGATGCCGATGCCGGTTTAGCCAATGCCTTACTGAATGTGCTGCAGCAGTACCAGGGGGAACCGAACACTCGACCATACCAAGTGGGGCCACCCGTCAACAAAAAAGGCAAAGGTGGTCCAACTCCGGTGCCAACTGGCTCACGACTTGCGCGTGTACTGCGGCAAACTCTTCAGGCGGCCTTGTCACAGGGCTGGACGGATCAGCAAGTTGCTCAGAGATTAGCCACCAAAATCAGCAGATATGTTCCTGAAAAAATGACTCCGAATAACCATCTCTCAAATATGAAAAGGCTTTTGGGGGAACGGCTGTATGATCGCATTGCCCCATCCGCCAAAGAACACATCGGCAAAGTGACTGGCATGATCTTGGAACTACCTGTGAAAAGATCAAAAGGCTCTTGTCAGATGAACCAGCTCTTCAAGCAAGTGTTGCCAAAGCCCTGACGACCTTGAAGCCTCAAAAGTCCAACACCTGGGTCGATCAAGTCAGGAAAGACGTTGTGCCAGAGGCCAATGGCAAAAGCAAAGGAAAAGGCCAAGCTGCTGACAGCCTTCGTGCCTTACGTTTTGCTGCAAATATCAAACCTGTGGAATGGACAAGTGAACCTAAGCTCACTACCATGAGCAAGATGGAGCAAGCTTTGAGTGAAGATTCTGACCCACCTGCTAACCTCATTATAATTATCCACGGATCCTGAGGTTGTGAACAAAGCCAAGAGCCTGTGGGCTGCCTTTGATTGCACAGATAAATGCCTCACTGTTGGCACTGTGATACACAAACTTTCCATTTGCGTTTGGTGGAAGATGCCAGGCAGGAACCAACCTGCTCCTCCAAACCGCGTGCAGCTTCAGATATCACATATCGGCAAGAAGCACGGCCCGGTACCCATTTCAGCTGTTGTCACTGAAATGCCCAAGTTTGATGGCCCCAAGATGGCAACTGTGAGATTCCTGGCGCCAGCTTTCTATCGACGACATGTTGCTGGTGTTACCAAGGATGATGACCCCACCACAGTCATTGTTGCTGTGGCAGCCAACGTTGGCTGTAGAGCTTCTCTTCTCACTGGTGGCAAGTGGGAAGTGGCAAATCATCCCCATGGTCGCATTCTCATTGGCCACATCAAGGTAAATGAAAGCCTCGCTGAAAAACTCCAAAAAAAAATCAGGTCGCCAAGCCTTGTTTGTTGCCATTTTGGGCACAGGTGCCAGAACCGCTGTTGCTTGGGTGCCTCGAGTAAAACAAACTTCTGAAGATTACTTCAAACAATCACTCACACGTGCCCAAGTCCATGGTTCTCCTCTGGTACTCAGACAAGGAGGCGGCAGTGACCTAGGAGTCATTGGCATGTCCCAGACTGAAGTTTCTGCAGGTCTGATTCGCACGTGGGAACTTCATGGTAGTCCAAAGCACTGGACTACTGACGAAGTCTCTGATTTTCTCACCAAGAACACATGGACACAGATTGACGTCTTAAATAAAATCAGGAGAAACAGTCAGTTTGTTTGGATTTTCAAAGCCAAAGCTGCCCCAGCACAACAGCAGCATGAAAATGATTTGTGGTACTATACTGATCAAAACAGTGCTTGGCACTTGACAATTGCGCCAATTCAGTCCAGAATGCGCAAGCCAGTGCCTACTGAACAAGTTGCTGCTCCCCGAAAGGGTTGATGACAGAAAGCAAGCTGCGCCGGTTGCTGCTACACAAATCGATCTCACTGTTGAAACCCAGGACCTTTCTGCCGAAGAGGAACGTGTCCGTTCCCCACGTCGCCAAGGGGGAAAAGATGAACATGCAAAACCAAAGAAGATTTTTGGATCGAGACAAAGTGTTCATTGCTCAAAACCCTGATTGGACTATCGTCAATTATGGTGGATCCGGTGATTGCACTTTCCGTTGTGCTGCTTACAGCATCGCCAAACAGCAGCAAAAGGACCTGGGCCCTGAAGCCATGATCCGGGAAGGCAGCCGACTGCGGGTGTTGGCCACTGGACATCTCACTGCACATAAGGCATCATAAGGCCATATTTGAACCTTTCTCGGCCCCAAACTCAGCGGAAGCCAACCTATTCCGAGCCAACCAGGAAGCTCCTGCGGAATAATCCCTTCCTCCTAATACTAAACCCCCCCCAATACAAAACACGGCAGGTAGTTTTTAGTATTAGGGGGGTATTTATTATTAGGGAACCAAATCGAAGTCATGTTAATTAGTTGTTAATGCATTAGAATGGAGGAAGGGATTATTCATTTTATAAAGATTTCTAAATAATTCTAATTAATTAATTAGATGCATATGTATATAAAAGTATATATATATAATCACTTCATTCGTGTATATGTAATAATTATTCATGAGGGCTTCATGATGGCTACAAATAAGTAAATAGATGTACAATCAATTATATGTGTATATGTAATTAGTAATCATGAGGGTTTTCATAATTATGCTGGCAATAAGATTTATTTGGCAGATAATAGAATCCATAATTTTTATATATGTAATCAAATAACTATATGTGTAATTATATGTAATTAGTAACTATTTAGAATGTGTAAGTATTTATCCAGCATCCAGTGGGTCAGGTGCACAGACAGTCAGCTTCCATGGCTTGTTGGTTCAAGCACAGAGACAGGCAGCCAGCGCCAACAGACGCAAGTCAGTAAGACAGCCTCAGAAGCCATGAACGCAAACGGCCAGCCAGTTCAGGGGGAGCAGGCAGCAGCGGGCCAGGCAGCCGAGGTCCAGGCAGCCTTGGTGCAGCTGGCTGTCCAGACAGCAACTTGGCAGCAAAGAGAGTTGCAGTTGACAGAGGCAGTTGAATTGGAGAGAGGTGCTTTTTTGGAATGTGTTGTGCATTTCATTTCCCTCCTTCCATTTCCCTTTCTAAAGTCCTTACTAAAACTGCTGCTTCTGTGCTGCCAAGCTAGCTCCAGGCAGGTTCTCCCTAATAGTAAGCACCAGACCTTAATACTAAAAACTACTTCACCAGCTGGCATTTCCCTTTCTAAAGTCCTTACTAAAACTGCTGCTTCTGTGCTGCCAAGCTAGCTCCAGGCAGGTTCTCCCTAATAGTAAGCACCAAACCTTAATACTAAAAACTACTTCACCTCCTTCCATTTCCCTTTCTAAAGTCCTTACTAAAACTGCTGCTTCTGTGCTGCCAAGCTAGCTCCAGGCAGGTTCTCCCTAATAGTAAGCACCAGACCTTAATACTAAAAACTACTTCACCTCCTTCCATTTCCCTTTCTAAAGTTCTTACTAAAACTGCTGCTTCTGTGCTGCCAAGCTAGCTCCAGGCAGGTTCTCCCTAATAGTAAGCACCAGACCTTAATACTAAAAACTACTTCACCAGCTGGCATTTCCCTTTCTAAAGTCCTTACTAAAACTGCTGCTTCTGTGCTGCCAAGCTAGCTCCAGGCAGGTTCTCCCTAATAGTAAGCACCAGACCTTAATACTAAAAACTACTTCACCAGCTGGCATTTCCCTTTCTAAAGTCCTTACTAAAACTGCTGCTTCTGTGCTGCCAAGCTAGCTCCAGGCAGGTTCTCCCTAATAGTAAGCACCAGACCTTAATACTAAAAACTACTTCACCAGCTGG